AAAGAGATAAATCAGAAAGTAAAGAATGACAGATAAAGAAATTTGAATGTAAAGAAGAAATAAATATAGAAAGAGAAGAATGTTGAAAATGAATAAGAGAAATGATTCCAAGAGACCAGTATAGGAGACCGGCTGGAGGAAGAATGAATGCTCGAAGTCCGGGCGCTGCCTCCAGCGCTCACCCCCACTCTCCGCCTTCGCCCACTCTCAGAGTCCTGCCGCGACGAATTTGCGCGCATACAATTTTGGGCAACTTCCAGTAATTTCTAAATATGCTTGGCCTGAATTTCCGATTTCTGAGTGTTAATAGTTTACTTTATTAATTTAATTAATTATTTTAATGTTCCGAACACCTATTTTATTAATATTTTAATTTGAACGTGATTTATTTTCGATATTCTACAATTTCAATTCAATTGTTATCTACTCCATATATTCTGCGAGATTTTGAGTTAGCCTACATAGATTTTGATTTAGCGTACTTCTTAAGAACTATTGAAAAAGCCTATTGATGAAAATTTTTCAATAATTGGGGTACTACACAGGTGTCAAGTTGGCACCGCACTTTCTTAAAAATATCTTAAAAATGTTTCACCAATAGGCTTTTTCAATAATTCTTGACAAGTTCTATAGTTCCCGGTCTCGTTCTAAGGGTTGCTTTGGGAACCAGCGGTGGGTAACGGAGAACCTCTGGTTGCCAAGCCACACGTTCGTGTTCATTTTTAGCTCGGCTACGACGGGATTCGCATTGTTGACGAGGCGCTGATTACAAAATCCTACTTCCTGACTCGCCGCTACGACTTAGCGCCATGCTTTTGGTATCAGCTAAAACCGTAGCGTTGTGCATCTCCTTACTCATCTGTGGTATTTTATCTGACATATTTATGCCATAACCTAGAAAAGTCATATTAGTATCATACTCCAAATTTTGTGATTCATTCACAATCTGTCATAATAAATTTGTTCATCTATTTGTGCACAAGACTGCTATATATTTTTAAAGCAACAAAATAGGGGAACTTATTAAATTTCTATAGGTGAAAATATTTTGAAAAGTTGTATAAACTATTAGTTATATTTCATATTTATTGGATCCTATAGAAAATGTATAATTTGGTAATTTATTATTTTATTGCAATATAGGAAAATTCATATATTTTACTACAGAGTAATTTTATAAGGAGGGAAGAAAATGGTATGTGTGCCATGCATGATAGTACCTGTACTTCTTCTTATATGGAGATTTCTCATACAACCATTTATAATGAAGTTATGGAATTCCGGGCGAAACGGAAAAGGTGATAATGAACAAGGTGGACCACCAGAGCTAGTCCAGGAATGTAAAGATGGAGTGTGTACTTTAGCATGGAAACATACAAAAAAGGCAACAAAAATTGAATGACATATTATATTATATAGCATAAAATCTATAAAATATTTGTAAAAGTAATAACATCCATTCCACAACCATTAATAAGTTGCAAAAGTTTGTTTGTTTAATAGAAAACGACCACAAGGTTATTCTCTTTTCATATGTGCTCCTATTGAATATTACCTGTTAAATTATGTAATTGCAAATTTAAATTGTAGAAAATTGTATATTTTATTGAGTGCCTGTGTGGGAATGACGGATATATGTAAAAATATATCTTTATCAGCAATTGTATATATTCATTAAATTGCGTTAATGAAAATATTGATTGCACATCTAGACAGAGATGATCTAGACATATGCAAAGGACAAATTATGTAATGACTTATATTCTATATAATACCTATTTTCATTTGTAATATGCAGAAGTTATTAAATCTTAAATTTAATAATATATAATTGTAAAGCAATAAATTAAAAAATATAGAAAAGCATATTTGTATATTTGTAATTTATTTATAAACGTTGTATTGTTTTGTGATAAAACTAAATGGATATTACAATAATTACTCAACATAACTTGTTTGATTTGATTATAGAACACCATATGAAGCTTCAAATATAACAATTTCACATTTTTTTCTGTGCTTGTAACAAATACAGCAAAACTTCAAAATCCATATATAATGACATTTGGTGAATGACATGTAGCTTTAGTTCATAAATGAAAAACCAGTGGCACAATCAATAGTTAGGAAGTAAAAGATATAGAAAATTATATTAAAAAAATATTTCTAATAATCAGTTTAAAACAGCATCAATACTGTATCAGATTTAGAAATTATGGTATGTTTTGTATCTCTTCTTTAACTTATTTATTATGGGTATCATGCAAAAGAGCAATGTAACCAGTTTGTAAGAAACAAAAAGAATTGTCAAGTATAGTTAACAGTTTGGAAAGACAAGATTAAAGTTTCTATGCCTTGTCCAAATATGAATTATTATATTCTGATTGTGTGTAAAGAGACAAGGCTAAAAATGTTTTCCAACAATTCAAAATCTGTTAAATAGTAATCAATTTTAGTGAACATTCCTAAGTTCGACTTCAAATATGAGTGTACTGTTTCCTGGAATTACAGGAGGCGAACCTTTCGCGCCATATCTGTAACAAAAAATAAAAACCGTAAAATTTAGTTATATCGTAAAACATGTTACAACGCAAGTTGAAGCAAAGTGGTATATTGTATAATGCAGACAGGTCTGTGCATTTTAGAGAATTCAATTACTACTATATCAATAATTGCATAAAAGCGATGTAAATATTTTTTTTCAATAAAACAGATAATACTTACGCTAAAGCTGGAGGTATCGTGATGCGTCTCTTGCCACCCGTTTTCATTCCAGCGATTCCTATATCCCACCCCTTAATTACTTCACCTTTGCCAAGTCTGAACTTAAACCCATCTCCATGGTTAGTAGAGTCAAATTTCTTTCCATTCTTTAAGCGTCCTACGTAATACACGGAAATGAATTTTCCTGATTTGGCTGGAGCTCCACTACCAAGTTTTATATCCTCAATCTGTACACCACCTTCAATTACTCGAGCTTTCTGTTCATGTTTGGCAGTATTAAGTTGCTGCTGTTCACCTTTATTCTTTTTTTGTTTAACTTGTTCCTGTTTCAATTCTTTTCCATTTACCATTTTCTGTTTATCTTGCTTTACCTTTTGCTGCTGTTGTTGTTGTTGTTGCAGAGTCTGTTTATTCTTTTTTTGAGGTTTGACTATTGTTTCAACTACCTCCTCTTCTTCTTCCTCAACTATCTCCTCCTCTTCTTCATCTTCTTCATCATCGTCAGCTTCCTCGTCATCTACTTCTTCTTCATCATCCTCATCTATGCCATCTTCCGAATCATCCTCGTCAAGGTCATCGTCATCATGTTCATCGTCCAAGGACTCTTCATCCTCTTGCTGCTGTTCTTGTTTAATACGTTTAGATGTTTTTGTTTCTTTTGGTGAATCCAAAGCTTTACGTTTAGATTGCTTGCTGACTAATTGTGGTATATCTTCATCATCATCTTCCTCCTCGACGTCATCCAAATCCAAATCATCCTCATCAGGAATCAAATAACCAGTTAAATGTACATGACCACGACCATTAGATGTAAATGCTATTTTAGTTCCTTCTTGAAAATTTAAATCTAATGGAACTTGCCAAGCTGATCCTTTCTTTAAACTGCAGAGCAGATAGTTGCGGTTATCATAGCAGAACATGACTTGTACTATCTCATCATCTGTAAACAATACATAAAACTTTATATAAATATTAACTTAATTTTTTATTTAATCGTAAATTACACTCGAAAAATGCGAGGCACGTCCACAAAAATTTTATCTTAGTTTTTTTAATACGTGCTAGCGCTAATTTATTTTTTATTTCTATTCTTTTGTACAAGAAACAGGTGGCTCTCGTGCTAATACTGTTTCTAACCTAAAGAATATTGAATTCTTTAAATTTCAATATTGAAACAAGCATGCATCGGTCTGAATCCAAAATAAGAATTTACGTTTTGAAAAATAAAGTAAAAGCATATGTAAATAAAATGTGATACTCTGGAGCGCATAGTACCGGAGAATCTTACCTGCAGTCGTAACATCGAGACTTGCCATAGACACGTGGAACGATTTTTCAACGGTCTGCGTATACCGCTTATTTGGCTCCATAATAAGTCCTATAATATGAATAATAATATTTAACATATCTCAAATAATAATAAGATTCTTTGTATGCGTAACATTTGAACGAGGGCATTCTTCTAAACCACATGGCGACGCCATTCTTAAGTTACACTTTGCCGGCAAATTTCGGTTAAACGATACACTGAGTTCTTCTGTTAATATTCTCTTCACTTACCCCAAAACATGTTGGCAGGTTTCTGTTATCCGTGATGTATTAACAAAATTACAAGTATCGTAATTATTTTCAATACTCTTACATATGGAGCAGTAAGCACGTTACTAACTGAGAGGTTTATGCATACATATAAAGACACTTCTCAATGTTCTCGCGCCAACTCGTAACGAACAACTGGAGAATGGCGCTCACTTATGCCAAGATTTTTCGAAGTCTGATATTTTCGGTCAAACAGAGACCCTGGTGGTCGATTGTTTAACTCAAATGTAGTGGAAATACTATAAGTGAATAGCTGTTAGCCAATCGCGTGTTAGGATCGAAAGAAGACAAACACAACGATTGGCTAACAGCTAGTCACGTTTAGCATTTTCTCTATATTTGAGTTACACAATTGGCCCTCTATTCGGTTTTGGTCTGTTCCTAAATTTACTAAAAGTACTGTACAATTAATTACATCTCACTGGCACTTGGCCCTCTACGAGGGCACAAAGCCACAAGGAACAAGAAGAATTACATCTGTTTAGATGCCTACAGATGAATAAGGACACAGCATTGGTTACAATATTGGAAGTACTGTCAATACATTACAGAACACACCCTTTATATCAAGAAAATATTGAGCCCGTATTCTCGAGTCTGCCCTAATGATTCTCGTATGTAACTTTCTATTTGAAAAGCATTGACTAATCCCATGCGAGATTCATGAGAACGATTCGAGAATACGGGCCCTGCACTCTCATTGGTGATGATTCTCCATGTCCATTTCGCTACATTAAACTTACGAATCACTGTATTGCTTCCATTAGCTGTGTTTAGTAGAAACACCGATCTATTTCTTTTATTCTAAAGTTACAATGGTTACAATTAGTTTCTGATTGTAGACACGTAGAGAATACACAACTCAGTATGCACTACGATTTTGTTCAAATGCAAGGTATTAAATCATATTAAATCGTTAATATAGTTTTGTGATTTATATGTGAGAAGCGGTTGAGTTGGAAAACTTATTCTGTAGGTCAAAATGTAGTAACATCACTGATTACACATGATTTAATTACAGAAAATCAAACTAAATATTGGTTACTGGATTCCTTTTGAGTCTGGACATAAACAATTAAATAATTGAAATTGTTCGTTTTTAGAAAATAAAAATTCGTCAACGTATTCCAACGTATTATGGAACATTCTATTCATTCAAACGCTTGTTGTAAACGGTTTTTGAAAGAATTGCGTGATAGAAACAGGCCTTTACGTTCTCGTATGGTCAATATCATCTTTTAGCTAACACTTCGTATTCTGCAGTTCTGCTTCTTTTTTCCCACGACTGAAGTCGGTTGATGGAGAATCGTGAATATATTTTGTGTTACCAGTAGCGGATTTCACAAGATACGAGTTCTATCTTGAGGTAAGTTGCGTGTTTCTCGCAGTGTTCTAACAATCTTGTAATAAGTGTTAAGTTCTCAAAATGGTTTGGAACTGCGTTAGAAAAAAATAACAATTCATTACACTCAAGGGCAGGTTTGTCCAGGATGGATACTCATTTATTGTGAAATATTACGATATTCATATGTCTTCTTTATTAGGTCTATAATTCATTAGTAAGCAGGCGTAGTTTTCCTAAAAATTAATGTTGAAGTCTTATGTTAAGATTGAATAGACGATCGCGTGTCTTTATCTACTTGTCTTAAGGAGTACACTTCCTGATTTTCTTAGACTTTGGAAATTATATTATAAATACGTATGCCACATTTGTTTGCACGGTTTAAGGAAAAGAAGAATTACTTGAAGTTTCTAGGTTGATTCTGAATACCATATATGTATATTGCCTAAAATAACATCATTCTTTATAGCAGTGTTACATTGCCATATTATTGAATATCATTCTATCATAATACAATATGATTAAAAACTTAATTTATGTACATATTAATACTTATTTGTGTTTTTATTGATCACTATTAATGTTAGACCGTAATAAAGATATTCAACTAATATATATCCAATACTTATCTACGAGTAATAATATATTTTAGTTCCATGAATTTTATTTCAATTAATATCTATATTATGTACAGTCAAGATAATTTGTTGTGATAGAGCAGTTATTAAATTTCTTCATGATATTTATTTTAATTCTAGAGAAATCATCTTCAATGACTATATAGTCCATAATCTTAAAATGGAAGGGCAATTGGAAAGGAAAGATGCAAGTTCTGTTCCAAAAGAACCAATAAAATTGGAAATTGTTGCTTCAAATCCTGAGACAGGTGAACGTGAAGATGGAGCACCATCTCCACCTCCTAACTGCAGTATATGCCTTGGAAAACTTGTTAATACATCGTTCACTGATAGCTGCTTACATCAGTTTTGCTTTAACTGCCTATTACGATGGTCCAAAATTAAAACAGAGTGTCCTCTCTGCAAACAAACTTTCAAATCAATTATACATAATGTGCGGTCAGAAGAGGACTATGACCAATATCATGTGCCACGAGAATTAGCATCTCAAATACCACCACCACAAACTCCTCCACCACCAGATGTCAATTTTGGTGTAATCAGGGCAAATTTAGCTGCAGGCATTCGCCCATTTGTCTACAGGTATAAATCTTAATGTTCCAGTTATTATCAATAGTTCCATAATCATATTTAGAAATTTTTACTATAATGCAGAACCACCATGACATCCAATCGACGTTATGGGATGTTTCTAAACCCTGAACAAGTAGCAAGACGTGAACAAATTCCAAGTGTAGTTCCACCTATTTCAAGCAGTGAACACAGGAGGAGGCGTGCTAATCCGACTGCTTTCCGCCGCAACATATATAGGCAAGGAATATGGGCTACACCGTTTCCAGATATTTTTGGTCGCTTCCAACAAAACAGTGCTGATTATTATCGGTAAGTTTGATAACAGTTGTTGCAGTTCTCTGACCACTAAGATAATAGAATTGAGACTTAGTGTCTGACTTATAAAGATGTAAACAATAGTATAGTAGTTGTTATAAGCGAAATAGCTTTTTTTTAAAATACGTTCTTGATTTCTTGATAATATTTTCTTTATCATGCTGCATAGATAACCAATGCATTTTACAGGAGACAACCAGCAGATTTGCTTCGATTAATGCCGTGGATAAACCGAGAATTACAAGTATTGTTAAATCACAGTGAACATCATATTGCATATGTCATGCAAATCATTATGGACGCTCTCAGCCGATATGACATAAGAAGTCCTGAATTTCGTGATATTATTCGACCATATTTCAATCTATATACAGAGCATTTTGTGCACGAGCTCCTTAATTATGCTCGAACCAATTACGATGTGGTCGGCTATGATCAATACGTCACATACATTCCTAACCATGGTTCGTCTATTAGTATACTTATCTTATTTATGTTTACTTCGTTAAATTTATTAAGAGAAACGAGATACTGCTTCGATTTTTATTCGTTCAACTTATCACGAATATGCTTGTAACATTTTTGGCGTTCAAGATTATATAGTGTCAGTTGTTTATTGCAGGATTATCAAATTCATACGTTCGACGTATATCATCCCCATCTTCCAGTAGCAGTGACGCAACTTCCGATGATTCAGACGTTAGAGTTCTTGATGAAACTATTGAAATGGATCGATTGAATTACGAATTACCTAGTACTGGCCCACATACTGTGGATATGCCTGGTAGGATACGGGTTTAATAGAGGATTACAATAAGATATTAATGAAATGTTTTTGCATTTGATTCATGAATACCATATTACTTTTTATAGGTCCTAGCAACGTGCGCCAAGCATTTTCGTTTGAAATACCTACCGGTATTCCAGACGTGTTAACAATTTCATCCAATTCCTCTGGATCATCTGATGAGTGTGAGATTGTTGGATACGTGAAACCTCGTCACGAGAGGACGCCTGAAATCATAGAACTTGTTTCTTCTGGAGCTGAAGATCATATTAATCCATCTGCTTCTCAGGAAACCACAATGTAAACACCTATTACCTTATAGAACTGATAAAATAAGATTACTTGTCGATTTCTTACCTATATTCATAATTTCTTTTACAGATGTGAGAATTCTGATGTCGCTAATTCTTGTCAGCAGTCGATCAAATCAAGAAGTCCTTCGTTACTGGATCAAGATGTGCAACCCAGTACTTCATATAATAGGAAAAGACACACAACTAAGAACATTAATAATAGATATTCAAGAATTGGAATCGCTGATACCTCATCTACCGCCACTGAGGATAGTAATATGAATTCGGATAGTGATTACAATTACCAGAAAAAAACAAGATCTAAGAAATCAAATAATTCTTCAAAGATAATGACACGTAGCTCCCGAAGCTTCAGAAGTAACCAAACTAGAGAAGCAAAAAGTCGTAAAAAATCCCGTCAATTTTTATCCAGTGAAAGTGAATCCGAGGATAGAAGTCGTCAGGGTGCCGAAAATGCAAAACGATCGCAGCGGAATGTCCCGAAAAAGTATGTGTTCAGTTCACGTGAGTCAAGTTTTGAGAAAAATGATAAAAGGATCCGTAGTAATGAAAAGTCGACCGCAAAAACTTGCAAGAGCTCAATAGATAGAAGAGAGAAGTACAAGAAGAAGCAACATAGCAGCAGCAATAGCAGTAGCAGCAGCAGCAGCGAGAGGAGCCAGAACAGCAGTAGCACCAGCAGCGAATCCGAGCGAAACACAAGAAGAAATGGAAAATCATACGTACAATGTGAAGAACGAAAAGAATATTCCTCCTGGACGAGCGATTCTAGTTATGACGAGAGAATCTCAAAACGATCAAGAAATAAAAAAAAATTAAATGTTCGAAAAAGTCAAGTAAGCGACACGTTCACTACATATACAGAATTAAACAAGAAAGACCAGAGATATCTGAATATTGCAACGAGAGGTAGAAATACAAGCGAATCACGCTGTGAGTTACCGAAAACGGTAGAATCTAATTCAAGATGGAGCCCAGCACCAAATGAAAACAATAGTGCATCGTATGATAGTGCAGAGTATAGTGATAGTGTAACCAGAGATGTATATGCATCAGTTACAAATGAGGAGAAACGAATGTTTTCAAGAACTCGAAGCTCTAGCTGTTCGGATTTTGAACAAAGCATAAATGCAAGATCCAGCAGTCAATGCAGTACCCGTTCTGATAAGACGCATAGTAACAAAAGAAAGTCAAAACATAAGGATAAGCACCGAGATAAAAAGAACAAACCCCCAACTAGCAAATCAACTAACTCGTTAGATTCGTCTTCAACCTCAATGAGTCTACCTTCAACATCAACAGCGTCTTCATACAATGTACCTTCCCTAGTGAAACATTCCGATTCTAAGAAACGCTCAAATTCTAAGGAGAAACATAAATCGCATAAGAAGCGCAAGGAATCGAAACGTAGAAGGTCAAGGAGCGAAACCAAATCTAAATCCAAAAGGAAAAGACGGCGCATCAGGTCGTCGTCGTCGTCTAATTCCAATAGAAACTAATGTACTGAGTTCAACATACAAATTAGCCAGGAATTTATTATCCTTTATGTATAAAAAATCTATATTATATTGAATCTTTACATTTAATTGATATCGGAATGCAGTCAGCTACGCTGGATAATATATGTCATAGATGATCATGATGATATGCGATTAAAGATATTGATTTGTAGAAAATATTGGTGTCCTATCTTGATCCGAAGTTTGTGAATTATTTTACATCATATTTTTTTATTTCTTTACAGAACTAGTGTATTTACCAATCGAAAAATGTTGTGTATGTCAAGAATTTAGTGGAGCACTTTATTCACGGCTAATTGTGTCATAGCTACGTTAAGCTAATAAGTCGCGTGAATGACTTATGCTGAAAAATAGTTTAGATTGCGTCAAGCGTGATTATACAATTTAGCATTGGCCATTGACAAGTTTGTCTTTCTGGACCCGTATTCTCGAATTTGCCTTAAGGATTCTCGCATGCGTTTTCCATTTGAAAGGTATTTGACCGGTTGTATATAAGATCAATGACAACGGTTCAAGAATATAGACCCCAGTATTACGTATAGAAAAAATAATAACACTACATGACCCCACGTACTTAAAATCCTTAATGCCCAACCATTCCGACGAATATTGAACTGGCTGTACATACTTGTATTATATAATTTTATAAATGACCTAGGCAAACTGGTACCACTTGCAAAAATACTGATATACAGCTTGTTTGATATATACTGATATCACACCATTTTTGAAGTCTTTTATCCTGGATCTGATATGCGCAAGATATATTTAGGTTTTATTCTTCATTTATATTAGATTATACGGTATATCCAACGGTAACAATGTTGCTTTATTTATTCACGTTTACGTAGCACTGAATATTATTATCTATAAATACTATTAATACCATCACGTTGCTTTAATACGCGTGAATGTTTTGGAGGAACAAATTTATTTACGCACGACTTCCATCGATAACAAATAAAATTTATTCTAATTAAATGCTATTTGTATTAATATTTGTTGATATCACATACATGCATGTACTCCTATAAGACTTCGATTTTGAGGATATGGAGCTTAGAGAATCATTTCTAGCAACAAGAAAATTTTTGTTGAAATAGTAATTCAAAAATGTTTACTTCAAGTTAGCTTTGACTGGTAAAATACATTTTTAAGTACTTGTTGCTGTTCATTCAGAAAGAATAAAATATGATACAAGAAAAAAGCTAGGGGTAAATTCTTAGAAATTTTTATATTGTTATCCAATTGTAAAATTATTCAATAGGTTTTTCATTGATTCTTAACATACCTGACATCAAATTATTAGATGTAATATATAACATTTTATAGAGGGAATCAACAATGGTAGGCTTTGTTTTATCATTATCATGTGAAATGAATACCTTCTGCATTGAATACATGTAAAAGCCTGCAAATATGATAAAGTCCTGTTACAGTTAAATGTTAGGATAAAGCATATATAGATCTATTTTTGCAAATAATATAACAATTTATTTCTCATCTTACCTGACAAAATCGTCAATATCCATCGTTCTCGCTCGTTTATCCTCACAACTACTTTTTTCCAAAATATTTGAAATCATTTGTTTTATGTCAAAATCCTCTGGTACCAGCTACAAGAAAGAATTGTTATAATTTACAGGGTTCACTGCCTTTTTAAAACTGTAATTCGATTTTGTATTTTACCTTATTATTTAGACTACAGTGCAGCTTATAATTTTTATCAAGCATGGCAATCACTGCAGTTTGTTTAAAAGCAGCAGAAAGAGTTTTATTTTTTCTGATGAATGCTACTCGAGTTAACCCATCCCACTCTTGGTAATTAATTGGAGGTGGTGGATTTCTAGGTTCTATCCTAACAACACTGGATTCAACTTTAGGTGGTGGCCTGAAGTTATTTTTGCCTACTTTCATCAGCATATCTACGCGTGCTAATAATTGTGTATTTATACTAAGTCGGCAGTATGCTTTCTCACCAGGCTTTGCTACCAGTCTTTCTGCGAATTCTCTTTGGAACATTAGTACTGCACATCTGAGGAAAATAATTATTGTAAAAACTATTCTTAACTGTTACATATTAAATTTTCTATTGTATCATTAAACAAAAATTATTGTGTACTCTATTTTATATAGTAGTTACCTAAAAAGTGGTCTATGTAGAAGCAATTTGAATACTAATGGTGATGAAATCTGATATGGGACATTAGCAACGCATATATCAAAAAAAGGCAAATCAGATTTAAGTACGTCTCCCACAATAATTTGCAATTTTGATTGATATGGTGTGCCTTGTACACGTTTTTGCAATTCAGCCACCATACGTGGGTCGACTTCACATGCAATTACTTTCTTTGCTTTTTCCAACATTTTGACTGTCATGTTTCCAGTTCCAGGACCAATTTCTAATATCACATCGGTGGGCCGCAAAGCTGCCTTTTCAACCATATTTTCAATGATTAATGGATTTTTTAGAATGTGCTGTCCAAAATCCTTGTTGAATAAAATTCCTGTTACATAGAAGTAATGTTTAATATTTTTATAAACAAGTTAGGAACTGTATATATAAAATGTGCTCCTAAATAGATATTTATAATAGAAGCAAATACTTCCTGAAATTAACCTTGTTTTGCTACTTCAGTATGTACACGACTTTTCTTTTCTGCACGAATTTTCGGCATTTTTATAATTTTTTATAAGGCTAGTATGAATCTACTGCAGAATGTTATATGTATATGTGGAACCACGTGCGTCCTCAGTAATCTTAAACAATGAAACAGACATAGAGTACCTCTATTCATGAATTATAAATCACATACATACAATTTGTCTTTACCGCAAGGGTCCCCACACTTTCTCTGTTAAAAATGTCGACTTTCATACATTAAAATTATCACTTTACAAACACTCATATATAGTACTTTTAGAATTACTCATATATTCTTTTGTACTTAGAGATATGAAGATAAAAATGTAGGTTAGTGGGATATGTCCTTTTCGATACAATTTTACTGCATAATTTGTCCTTGATTTGATATTTGAAATCATTGTTAATGTGATAAAAATGTTATCAAGAGTGAACAAAATAACAGCTTCATGCTCAAATATATTCTCATCAATGTATTTTGTATAAAAATTTTTGTATGTCTGTCGAAATGTAGTAACAGAATGGGATGTCTTATTAGTTGCCCATCTTATACACATTTGGTTAAAGATTAGGAACTGTCATTTTGTTGATAATTGGATATTTCAGGTTATAAAGCTTAATAATTTAATAGAAAGTGGATAGTACTTCGGTGGTACGTGCTCGAATGCTACTTTAAGTTAATTTGATTCTCAGAAGAAAGTTTGTTGTGTTACCATCCCATCTTCTTGTGAAGCTAGCAAAGGCGAATACGTATTCAGTTTCATGTGAACCTAAGCGTCAGGCTCTAGTGAAATAGTAAAATCTAAGGATTTCAGAAGCTTTAAGATCTTCTAATATTTACGGTCGGGAAATGCAACAAAGTAGGCGTAAACAGTATTACCGGTGAGACGATGGAGCTGAAGGTGTGGGTGGAAGGTATTCAACGTATTGTTTGTGGCGTTACCGAATCCACTACTTGTCAGGTATTTAATTTTTTATAAAATCGTTTTATTGTGTCAGTTCTGGGTTTCATTCTGGATGCCTGACACTTTGAATGAATTTAAAAACTTGTCTCGTTGCTTTGTTCAATACAATAATACTAGATAAGTTTTCTTTGTAACAAAGTGTTTTATCATCACTGTAAAATTTAGTTAAGTAATCTTTTTAAATTATATCTATATAAATGTATAGATGACTATATACTTTTAGGATGTTGTCTATGCGTTGGCACATGCAACAGCTCAGACAGGTAGATTCACTTTGGTTGAACGATGGCGTACAAATGAAAGGCTACTTGCACCATATGAAAATCCTCTTAAGGTACAATACCAAATATATTGAAGCACATATTTTGTAATGTTACTTCAAATAATAGTATCAATTATATTTTCTTTAATTATAACTGATTAAGGATGAAAGTCATAAACATTTGACTGTTTATTCAGTCAATAGTAATCACGTGCTATAAATAAATGTGTTGGCAATAGATTTTGATGAAATGGGGAGAATATTCCTCAGAAGTGCAGTTGATCTTAAGACGGTCTACGCCAGAAGGAAATAAGATTCAAAGTGGACGTATGATGCATGGGATAAGAACAAATGGTTTACCTACTTCTTTGGCAGAGCATTCGACAAGTAGCACAGCTCAAGATGATCTCAAGGGCAGTCCCACTATTCCAATGTCTGAGTACGATGAATTACAAGGAGGAATTGAAAGAAATCGGGATATCCGAAAATCTCTCACATTTAGTGGCCTTCATGGAACAGTTACTGATAATAATAGTGAGGTAATTCTTTCATCTATATCTGTAATTTCTATGAATCATATATTGGGTTGGCATGAAAGTAATGAGATACTTGGTTTATGTTTTACATATATTATTATCTTTATCATACAAGAAGCTCAATCAATGATGTAATCTTCATGAGTATCTAAGAACTTTTGCCAATGACTGGGCAATGTTTGGATGCCAAAAACAATTAATTTAAAAAAGGACATGTGTCGAGTTTTCTAATGTGTCTCATTACATTCATGCAAACCTAATATATTTTGCTCTCATTAAATATAATCTGTTTGGTTTCATATAAAAATTTAAGGTTCAAATGGAAAACGTTGCCATAGTTCAACCAACACCACAATTAAAATCTAAGGAGTGCAACATTCGAAAGGCTACTCACAAACCTACACGGTCTCCTACAAGAACAGTTAGTGGCGATAGTGAGTAGATATTCTTTCATACAAAAAACCATGTAATTGAATGATTACTTCACGGATTATGTTCATGATTTTGTCTTTCACAGCAAGTATATATTTGCCACAAAAGAAAGTACGAGAAGTGCCACCCTACAGAGATCCACCTGGTCCAGTTTCCCCACCATTACGAACTTTACCACCATACAGAGATCCTCCACCTCCAAATATTAATAGTCCTGGAAGATCACAATTTTTACCAAATACGAATAGTGGAAGTCCACATTTTCAAAAAGAAGAACAGTTTTCTCCAAGTAATCCCGCTAAGTCGAAAAGAAATCTCATTCAGGTACCGATAGGAGCAATAAAAATTACACAGTTACAGTTACAGTTATTTAGAAAAAAAAATGTTTCAAACAGTTCACATGAAAATGTTAATTATTGTTTTGAAATAATTATATTTTTCTTAATATGATAGGAGTTTCAAGAATCCAAGTCTCAGCCACAACCTGGCAATCAGTTAACAGGGCAGTCTCAAAATATGGTGACTGTCGCATATACTCAACGATACGTTGAGCTTATCAGATTGGTTAATAGGCAACGGGATACCATAAACGCCCAGCAGGCTGATCTTACAAAGGTACTGTGATAGATAAGTACTTTGCTGAACATAATATTTAATGAAGAAACTTGAATGAACAGTTTTTATTAATTTTATTATTCTTGAACATTTAAACTATATAATGTGGCCCTAACTTTAGCTATGCATATTCTACTTTCTTTCTCCTATCTGGCTTCATGCCAATTTCATATTACTCAGTCCATGCGTACTTACGCACAGCCGCCTCATCACAGCTATAACGAGCAATTTTGCAACAGTATTTCGCACAGAACATTTCCTTCTGCTATAAAAGCTTTGACATACAAATTACAACTTCTTTTAAGCGTATTTGTCTTGTGATTTCAATTATCTAAATAAAGATAATACCAAAGATCTTTTGGAAATACACGTTTGTCATTTAAGAAGTACAATTAAAATTTGTTTGACAAATATAGTTTGATGCTGAAATTTTGTACTGGGAAACTAAGAATAGAGAGCAAATGCATCAGATGGACTTTATTTCTGAAGAAGTGAATCGCATTGAATCCACCGGTCGAATTATCGAGGAACAGGTATATATTCGTGATAAAATAATGTGGTCCAACTTAGATATATGATACTTTCAATGTGACATTAATGGCACGCCAAGCAAACTCACTACATTTTGCAATTAATAATAACTACCTCAAATTTATTAAAGCGCTAAGATCCGCTTGCACCTTCTTTACTCTGGAAAGTCCATTTCCATTTCTGATCTTCAAAACGTACACGTAGCATAATTCTGTTCTACATATACATATATAAAAATCATATATAAAATTAACTTTTAAGAAGTTTTGTTTGTCTACACGAAAATATGAGTATTATATCCACAGTATTACGTTGATTTTTCACGAGACATTTATTAATCCGACTTCCTACTCTAGTTAAAAGAATTGACGCACGTAGAAGAAGAAAGTGAAATTGTACGGCAACAGGAAAAAACTTTGAAATCAGAGATAACATTGCTAAGATCAAAGTTAGCAAATTGCGAGACAGAGTTGTTGCAATGCAAGAATAAAATCAGGTAAATCCCTCAACATTCATTAAAAATTCTTAATTAAGCATTTTTAGTATGTAAATTCCCTTCTTCTTCTTCAGGCTAGTAATGGAAGAGCTTGCAGTAGAGCAGCATAGTATAAGTCGCGAATCAGATGAGCGTCAAATCATGGAGAGAAAAATAATAAGCGAAGTAGAGCATCTTCAGAATGAAGTAGAACAAGTAAAACGTTCTGCGGAATTAGCCACTCAATGCGCAGAATCTTTGAAGCTCGAAGTAGTAAGCTTAGAGTCAGCAATTGTTGAGAAAAAGTTACAAGTAGAACGTTTGGTTGCTGACATGAAGGAAGCCAACTTGCAGAGTTTGACGGTAGCTTGTCAGGATGAGCAAGTAAAGCATCTGCTAGAAGGTAACTGTCAATTAATTAAATTATTATTAATAATTTTCATACGTGAATTATATTTCAGGTGCACACAAACCTGGTAGTACGCGTAAAATGATAGGATCTCCAAGACAATTAGAAACTGCAGTGCCTACCAGTAAAAACCCACACGGTGTGTGGGTGTAAATAATTGCAACGTCTAATAGTCTCAAAATCTCCTTTGGTTCAATTACAATCCGCCGATCATGGACCAAAGTTAAATTACGTTCAGGGAGTAGCAAAAAACTGCCACATATCTATTCTCTAGACTTACTCTCCTGTATTATTTCAGTATATCGATATAACAGTAGTGTAAGAAACATTCGTTCATTTATTTCGCGTCATAAAAAAAAGAATTCTAGTGTCATGACTGAAGACTTACTCCGAAGAAGTTATTTCTCATTCTTATTCATCTCTATCAGTATCAGTAAGACAACATAAGTGATAAAATTATAAGTCAAATATCTTCATGTGCACATTTTACGGTGATAAATATCTTCAGTTTACTGCTCAAATTTCAGTCGTTTCAATGTCACAACAATATTATATTAATATTAAAGTTTAATCATAATAGTATATATCTATACTGCATGTAAAACAAATACCATAGTCCAATGGCAATTAATTGTCTGAAATTGTCTCTTATTATAACTTACTTATACTTTTTTCCACTAGTTTCGAACGTAAACAATTGTGCAATTATACACCTATCGCATTCGTGACCGTTATGTATCAACTATTTACTTGTTGTTGACCTAGGTGCTTATATCAATACCATTGCCATTATTCATTTCTCTGTATTATTATGAATTTATATCGAACTAGATTATACATATTCTTTCCTACATATCATTTGATCTAAAAACATTTTCGTATGTTCCATATTATTGTATGCTAGACTCCAGTTAAGTGAATGTCCGATCACTCACGTTTCGCGACATTCGAATTATCCTCACTACCAGCTGCCAATCAGTGTTGTATGTACAAGCGCGGAAACATATAAGGATACTGAATTCCGATAAAGAACTGTTGGAGGATTCTCGTTAAGTGATTATTATTTTTCAAGTCATCAATGAGATGATTCATGATATGTTAAGCATTAGGTACAAAAGAATAATCTGTGTATTAATGATCAGTTATTCAATTATTATTCCCAATTTATTACAAAATTTATAATAAGTGGGACAATAGTGGTCACATGTTTGCATGGTCATGCATATGGGCGATGTTGTATTACAGAAAGATATTGTTTGTAAGAAATTTAGTTTTGAATGATGTAAGTAAAGGACAGTATATGAATGAAATGAATATAATATGTATTATCACTCAAAATAATATATAATATATACTTCATCTTCGATAACATACCCAAATATCAGCAGCAAATTTATTTTTCTGAAACTTTAATTTAGTATATCGGGAATCCAAAACATTATTAGTCAATTTTCAAATATGTAATGCAGTCCTGAGTATAACTGCTAATATATCTAATTGATTATACGTGCAACTGTATTCAGACATGTACTGTACCGTGAGAACTTAGAATCCGCTTGCATTATGTTGCACGGTGACTCTTTATAATACCTCATAGATTATCAGTATTAAAATTATGAGGCAGGAGCTTTCATCTTACATAAATATCGCAAAAGCAACATCTTAACTTCTTCCGTATTGAGTTTAACAACTCCTTCTTGATTGTCAATTGAGAGTAAAGTACCCACTGCTTCACGGTCTTCACCTAAGACTACTTTGACACGATCACCGCGTGATGGTACCACAGGTTCCAATTGTTCACATACCAAGTTAACAACGCGATCCTCTGCTGGCAGGAATACCGCACACATGCCACCCTGAAAAATAGAAATATATTCACGTTCGAGAATGGTATATGGTATAATAATGAGAATAAACGAAAGTAACAAATAAGAACTTACTGAAATTCCGCGAATGACACCTTGTTGACCAGCTAATGCAGGATCCTGATGGGAATCGCGAATACGAACTTCTATGTCAGTCGTGTGCCATTCCGAACCCCCTATCATTCCTGACGAAACTCCCGCATCGAGTCCTGCACCAGGAGTTTGAGGATTGTAAGGACTTCCAGCAACACCTAGAACACGTTATTATTGAACAATTTTTAAGAACCTTTGTGCTATGAATGAAAATTTGTATTTATATGTACCTGGTGTCATTGGACTGTATCCCATAGGTGACGGTGTAGCAAAAGCTCCATGAGGACTAGTCGTATATCCAGTTCCTGATGGAGAAGGTGTAGCAATGTATCCAGCCGGACTTGGGCTTGCAGTAGCACTTGCTGCAGGACTGGGACTTGGCTGATATGGACTGTAACTTTGTTCTGATCCATACATAGTACCAGGTGTTTGTGGAGTGAAAGGACCACCCGTTCCTGGATAACCAGGTGCATAACCTGGAGATCCCCCTTCTTCCATACTATATCCGTCAAAGTCGTTACTTCTAGCTGGTGTATTCGTAACGGCTGGATCCCAGGCTCCGGATTGACCAGGAGTACGTGAACCATCGTGTGATGGTGTCATAGAACCATAATGAGGTGTCCGAGATCCATCTGTCCAATAAAAAGTTAATTATAAATACCATTAGTGTAATACAATCTACCCTTTCAGGTTCTGCTAGACTATGATATAGTTATAATGTACATTATTTTTGCACAGTAATACTTACTCTCGTACATAGGAGTTTGAGAACCATGCATTGGCGTTTTGGATCCATCTCTGGCGTACATTGGTGTTTGTCCACCAGCAGTGTATGCAGGGGTACGACTGTAACTGCTGAAGCTTCCGTCTTTCGTAGGAACTCCAACATTTGCTATATGAGATCTGTCTACCGAAATTGTTTGACAGGTAGAATGTAACTCAACACGAGCTGTTTTTTCCGTGGCATCTTTGACAATTCCGACGTTTCCTTTGTAGGGACCACGAGTAATTTTTATAGTCGTGCCGATCAGTTCTCTGTCGCGTCTTATACCGCCTCCTCGTCCTCTGCCTCGTCCACCACCACCACCTCTCCCAAAACCACCACTAAAAATTGATTTCCAAATATATTTACAATATTAAATTCCTGAAAAACTGTTAGTAAATTATGTACTTACCCACTAGGATGCATTGGGGATGCGATCCTTGGTGACATGAAACCGGAAATAGGTGACATTGAGGGCGTCATTCCGGATTTATTCCCGCCAGCTTGCTGCAAGTGTCTTGTTTTGCAGACAAATATACCCCCGTTATCCACGTACATTCGTGAATGCAGAAAAGCGAAACTTCTGTAAAGATGTTTTATCTCGCCACCTCTACCAGCATGAGGACCGTCGACTACTTTTACTATATCCTTTTTCTGAATAGTGTTTTGCTGTGAGTCCAGTGCCACTGCATTTCTGTTCTCGCGACGTTTTGTCAGACCTTGTGGTCTGGCTTCGACCACCTTTCCATGCATTGAAAGTACGTGGAAGTTTTCACGCTCGAGACGTACTATCACGCCGACAGTCTGCGCATCCAACTGCACAAGATCACCCCATTGAAATTGTCCTAAACTATCAACACCAGTTGCCATGTCAGAGCAGAGTTGAAGATCTCTTGGAAGTACTTCGAGTTCATGCATTGACAAATCAGAGAATAATACTACTCTATTTTGTTCAACGCGTACAATTAAACCTGTGTCGCCCTCGTATCTGCCAGCTACAACCTGGACACAACAATAACTATGTAGCTTGTTGATTTTGATTTTTGAAATAATTAGATACTAGAGTATTATAACATTGAGAATTATATAATAATTACCTTAACATGATCTCCCATGGTAAAGTACTTTCTGAGTTCATTTGCTTGGAATTCCAATGCTTCTTTCAGCTCTTCATGCTTTGGCATTACCATTATCATATTTCCGTCTATGGAGACGATTTTGCCTTGCAGGTTCATTAATTCTCCTTCACAAACCTCGACGTTATCTCCATTACTGAAGGAATGCGTTACGGCCTGGTCATCCTTTCCAGTGGATGCACCTGTTGCTGGAGTACCGCTCAATTCTATATCAATACCTTCAGGAGCTTCTTCAAATCGTTCAAGTTCAGAAAGAGTTGGCTTTATGCCTTCAGCAATTATAGCACTTGTTGTGAAATTTTTGTACAAAAATCTATAAAAGAAAGAATTAATATTATCCAATTTAAATCATAATAGGTTAAACTGATATTTTTGTAAATTCTATACACTTTTACACACCCTTTACGGCTGTATCGATTGCCCTCAAATATTAAAAAGTCTCCATCACTGGTAACTTCACCACCAATTGCACGAATGGCTTCAGGATCAAACGGTTTCGCAGGCGGCCTTCTTTTCTTTTTTCTTTTTAGGGCCTCAGATTCACTTTGTGCTGTTCTAAGTGCTCCGCGAGGTCTTGTGTAGTCGATTCTAGGTAGTAACTTCAGGTGAACTTGATTTTGTGCTAAATCAACGTAATCCACTTGGGCTATGTCATCTTTGTAAATGCCTCTCTTTAGTCTGACCCATTGTTTAGCTTTAAGACCAGTTTGCTCTTTTACAACTCGCAGTACATCTGTCATTTCTTTGATTGGTACCATTTGTTGCTTCCAGATTCCCACCCTTAAGTTACCGACATTTTCTATAGCAGCCTTTACGTGTGGTTGCTTGTAAGCCTCTATGTAAATGTAACCTTTGACTCCTTCTGGGGCTACCACAGATTTTATTTGCAATGGTTCACCTAATATTTACAAAAAATATTATGTCAATTAATAGATGTGTCTCTAGAGGTAGTATCACTCATTATAGTATTGTATTGTATTTGCTGAATCACAAAATTTACCTGAGAACTGGTACGTAATAAACTTGCGCATCAATAAAAGTATAGTTGCTTTCTCTTCACCGATGCGACACTTAACCATCCAAAGGTTGGGATCTTTCACACCTGGTAATAAAGTTTGTTGAGTGATTTCATCACTCATTTCCTCACCACCATCTCCAAAGTGTCGAGCGGCCATAGACTCGTCAGCATACTTCTTTCTTAAGTATTCTTCAATTTCATCTTCTTTCTGCGAGCTATGTAAAAAAATTTATTATAAATGTCAAGTTATCATGTTTTGCTATTTAATGGATACTATTTCTAATTTCTATTTGAAAATAGAAATAATTATGGTATTCTTCTAAAACTTACTCCCACAGATTGGTTCCTCTGCGTCTTCCTTCAATTTCACGAGCAGTAGGCCCTAATTCGTCAACTTCATTACCGACAATTCCAATTTCTTGTGCCCCTTCCTCCCATTCTTCATCATCTTCAACTTCGTCATCAACCTCTGCTTCATCAATAATAAAACCACCATATCTGTCCTTCTTCTTTTTCTTTCTGGGTCTATCGTCATCTTCTTCCTCCTCCTCATCATACTCGCTACTGTTATCCAAGTCCTCTCCTAACACGACAGTCATACAAAAAATTACTTATTGATAATTACTAACTTGAATGAGTAATATGAATCATTCATTTAATTATTACCTTCTGGTTCTTCCTCAGGCTCGGGTTCCTCTTCATCACCTGACCGAGCTTCTTCAGCCTCATCTGCTTTTCCATCATCAGACCTGACATGCAAACAAATAATAACAAATCACATTACAATAATCACACGAATTATTTTTCAATATTATCCAATATTCTTAATTCGAAGATGCTCACCCTGAGCCAGAACGAGAACGTGAACGTGATTTCGATCTGGAATGACTTCTTGATCGTGATCTAGACCGACTCCGACTTCGAGATACACTACGAGATCTTGCACCCGTACTCCCAACATCGCTACCAGCAGCAGATTTTACAGAACGATCTGCTTCGGCTTCGCTGTCGCTACCTCCACCACCACGCTCGCTCTGGTTGTCGGAAAAATTGCTGGCCTCAGAGTCCGACATTGTGCAGCCTCAGGACACCTTGAATTGTTGAATATTGCACGATAGATCTGTAGGAACAGAACGCACTTTCTTCAAATGACGATGAAACTGCAGTGGACCAATACTTGTAGGAAAATATTCCTACTAATCTGGTAAACACTGGACGCTCCAGACCATATGTTGGTGGCGTTATAAATTATGCCACTTTTTTTCACGTAGATGTTAACATGCACAGTATACGTATGAAAAATAACAAGATAGTTTTCAAGCTTTCCGAAAGACCATTATTTACAGCAGAGCTTCGAACTGCAGTATTTGTTCATTATGACACTCAATAATAGGGATCTACTTCCTGCTCAATCTTACAATTGCTCTTACCAATATTATGGACGTATCACATATAGTAAAGCAATATCCTTCTCTTTCCTTCAAGGCTTTAATCCTGAATCGAGGCAAAATAATTGAAGTAGACAACTAACCTGCACTAAACTTTATTGCTGCCTATACACCATAAATGCCAAATGGGTAAAACTGCAGAATATGACTCCTTGAAAGACTACATGTAAAAAAAAAAGCTAAACAATCCACAGCTAACTTCAAGTTGCATTCTGCAGTTTAGCCGCCAAATGAAATAGACAGTTGCACCTGTATTGAGTGCCCTGCCACTCTTCGATATTATTTGCAAAAAGCAATTAATTTCATTTTATATATTATTTAACGTAGTAAAGTAGTACATTTGCGAGCACACGTTCTTTTAGCCAATCATAAATTACGTGTCCTTTGACGCCATTGACATAGATGCGACACTAGTGTCGCGAACTCTAACTATAAAACCTTTACCATGGACAGGACAAGACGTGGACAGGACCACTGAACTACTGGAATCCGTATGATTGCATTAGGAGATAACCCGGCGAGCGCGCAGCTGTTTCACTCATTTCGTGGATGAGGTTGTCCTTTTCGAATTGAACTGCACATGTGGTGTACAAACCCTGCAAAAATGTTGTCTCGCCGACATATCAGTGTCAGCCGTGGTGCTATGTACAGAGTACTAAAATACAAGTACATACATATAAATTCTATCTAGGCTCCATGATATAAATATAGAACCTTATAAAAACGACAAAAAAATATTTAGCAACTTTCGAAATAAAATATGTGCCACTATTTAAGGTTATGTTGATTCAGTCCTCCCCGTACGCACTGCTTTATCTCGGCTTCAATTTTTTGAGAGACTGTACAGTGGCTGATAGAAACCAGAGATGAACAGGGAGATGCACACCGCCTACGGTTTTAGACTGTACCAAAATCATGCATCGCCTCCGTCAACAATGCAAATCCCGTCGTAGTCGAGCTAAACGTGAACACGATCGCGTAGCTTGGCGGGCAGAGGTTCTCCGCTACTCACCGCTGGTTCCCAAAGCAACTCTTAGAACGAGACCGGGAAATATAGAACTTCTCAAGAATTATTGAAAAAGCTTATTGTTGAAACATTTTTAAGACATTTTTAAGAAAGTGCCAACTTGACACCCGTGTAGCACCTCAATTTTTACTAAATATTATTGGATCTTGATTTACGGAGATAGCGGAGAACCTCTGCCCGCCAAGTTACGCGTTCGTGTTCACGTTTAGCTCGACTACGACGGGATTTGCATTGTTGACGGAGGCGATGATCACAGAATCCTACTTCCACATTTGCCGCTGCGATTTAGCGGCATGATTTTGTTGTCGCCGAAAACCGGAGCGTTGTTCATCTCCCTGCTCATCTCTGTAGAAACAGCTTACTACATTAGTCTGTCTTCTCGCTATCTCTTTGTATGCGGCTTCCAACAATGCCGTACGGCCATCAGTAATCCTACATGTCGATTGTTTATCACGGGAGTTGATTTGCCCTGGTGCCGACGATTTCATATACCAGTTAACACCCCCTGGTGGTCATCAGATAGTTAATAGTTAAAATTGGTTAAAATTATTTTGTAACTACCGTACATTTCCACAAGAATAAACATAGTATGGAAAGGTAAATACTTAAATGTTAACTTTATTAACTCTACAAACGTTGAAATATATAATGATAGCATTTGAAATAGAAAGTTTTTATCTATTTTCATGATTGATTTGTTTTCTTACATACATGTATAATACATTTTTAGATACCATTTAATGGAGTTACTTCAGAAGGAAGCAGAAAAAGAAGAATATGGTGGCATTTTTTCTATTGATTTTCTGCAAGAATTTCCTATAGGTTTGTATTATGAAAAACTCATAAAATAAATTTTCAAGAGTACAAGACGAACACAAAGTAATAGTTGTAAGCATATTATGAAATTGGCAATTGGAATTCATTATTTTTATAGGATCTGTGAGATGGAAGTTGCCAGGAGTAACAGATTTAACTTATATTAGAAGTCTGATTGAATGTTCACAATCATGCCCATCTGATAGTGATGAATCCTATTTTTTATTTGATGATCCTGATACAGATGAAATGGCAATGGTGGATATGAGGTATGCTGAAAATGCAGAAAAGAAAAAGCTTAAGAAACAGCGTCAAAAAGAGAAAAAAAAGAAAGAGAAAATGAAAGTGGCAGAGACTGAACCAGTTAAACAAAGCGGTAAAAACAATTTGGTATCGAGTTCAAAGTCACCCTCTGTTGCTGCTGAAACAGAACATAAAGAAGATCATAAAGAAATAAAAAAAATAAAACCAAAGAACCATGATTTACCAAAGAAAGCTAAAGCAAACACACAAAAAGTATCAGTGCTTACATACAGCGAGGATAAAGAAAATGATAGCATAGAGCAAGATTCCCAAAGTGAAGATATGAATGAAGATCCTACATTTAGAAATTATCCCTTTTTTACGGATTCTGCAAAAGGATTGTCAAAACCAACTGAAGGTCAAATGCAAAAGAAGAAAGTCAACAGTGAATCTGATAATGATAAAGTAAGAACAATGGAAGATACTGATGATGAGGCTATACTGCCTGAAAATTACTTGACATTTTTCAAGAAGTCAGTAAAGCCATCTTGCAGTGGGGTAAAGGTGGAAAATGAAAAATCATCCATAAGATCAAATGTTCTTGATTCCAAAGATAATAAAACTAATATTGACAGAAATAGGCCCTTACATGCAAGTGGATGCTTTTCAGATGATGATGATGATACAGAAATGGACACAGAGTTTGTTACAGTGAAGAAGGTAAGCATCGCTTCAGATGCTATTAAATTCATTGCATCCTACTATTTTCCATTTGATACATTTTTAGTCTAAAAAACCAAAATATTTATTGGAAAGTGGTGAACATTCATCAGATGTTCTTGGTGTACATGCCTATCATTTAATTTTACAAGGCAACATACTTGAAGCAATTCATTATTTAAATGAAGCCATTCAACGGGATCCAAATGACATTCGTCATTACATCAATCGTAGTTACTGTTACTTAAGACAAGCACGATATCCATTGTAAGTGTAATTACATATAAACCTCTATAATACATATGATCAAGTTTGTAAGGTATTATTCTCACTCTTACAGAGCATTATCGGATGCACGTCTTATTGTGAAAAATTCAGATAATCCAAGAGAAATAGCAAGAGCTTTCTGTCGCATGGGGCAAGCTTTTTATGGAATGGAGGTAAATTATTCCAACATACTTCATGCAGCATACCCACATTCAGCATTAACCTAATTAAAACTGTAATGTGTTATGAATCAGAATTATGAAGAATCAGAGAAATACTTTGAAAAGAGTATTAATCTGAATCCGGGTAATCCCCAAGTACAGCGTGAATCATTAAGGATGCAAGTAATGAAGTTGGTTCACATGGGTTTCCATGAGAAAGCTGTAGTCCAATGTATCGAGCGTTGTTCAAAAACATTGGTGCAAGAATGGCTTGATCAGGATGTTATTACACTCTTGACTAATGATAAGACTGCGACGGGTTCAAATACCAGTGTTACCGATAGCGATTGTGGTGACAATGACATATATTGTTCAGATGACGATGAAAGGCCAAGCAATGCACGGTTGTTATCAAAAATGATCTCAAATCGATTGAAATTATACAATGAAACGAGCAGTATGGATTCCTACAGTCAATCCTCTGTGGCTGGGTTAGTTGATTATTCTTTGATTTTTATAAAAATTCTGTTAATGAAAATATATGAGAATTTTTTTTACAGTTCTAGCAGTTCAATACCACATTCTAATAAGGCTGGAACTAGCGGTATTAAAACTGCTAGTTCTAAACAGACTGTTCCAAGAGTTATAAAAGCGACGGCTTCCCAATTTGCTCAACCGCCAGAAAATTTTGTTATTAATGATAAATCAATTTGGGTCGGTAATATACCAGCAAAAACTACCAATGCTATGTTACGTGCGAAATTTTCAAAGTAATGTATTTTGGTGTTTCACTTTTTTAAAGCAAGAAGGATCTTCACAATGAAAATAATTGTAATTACTTCTGTTTTAGATTTGGCAACGTAATTTCTGTTCACAGACGCAATAACGATACATATGCGTTTATTAACTTTTCTAACTCTCAATCTGTGAGGAAAGCCTTTGCAGTTGGTCATAATTGTTATATCAACGGGGTTAAAGTTACTATAAAAACAGCTCAAAGATCATTTAAATAAGTTGTATATATTTCCTAATTAAAAAAAAAAACAGAGTTTAGAGTATTCGCCTAAAGCTTTATAAAAGCAGAATTTCAACTAGAAGCAAGTTTACGTGATAAAGTTTGATTTTATAAAGAAATATGTTAAATTTGTCTTTTTATATATTTTTGATATTAAGCTGTCTTTTATTATATCAACTGATAAAAAGTACAGAGTTTAGTTTACGATAGCGACTCTGATGTTTGTCTGTGTACATCATGAGAAATTAAATATATTTTTTGTCCAGTAAACTTTGTAACTTGTTTAGTGATAAAAACAAGTGATGCGAGATTTGTAAGAAATTTCCCAGCGCATGAGAATTTACCAACATTACAATAAGAAACATCAAGTGTCATGTTATACATATAATAATCGTCATAAATATATAAATCCGAAAATATACATATGTAATTTCGCATCTTAAATTTATTGAACCAAGAAAAAATGGAATTATCCTCAAGAATTTATATTCCAACACAATCAGATGTTCGCACGAATCTCGGTTCACCGCTGGCACAAATCATCTTCGACTACAGTCATGAAGAAATTCGAAAATTGCTGGGAATCATTCCACCATTAGAAGGTCCACCAAAAATACTCTGGAAGTCACCTAGTGATCAACTTATTGGAAAAGTTGCACTAACGCCACCGTTGACGAATAAATTCATCAAAGCATGCACCCATCAAGGAATATTAGGTTGCAACATAGTGCATACAGTGATAGATTAATTTAAAACTTTTCTTAATGAATATTTTGAAATAGCTTTAGGGCAGGTGGTACTGGAAAAATTTGAAGCAGATATGGATGAAAGAATGAAAAGACATATGAAAGAGGAATTAGAAGAAGTACAAAACATGTTTGAGGCGGAAAAACGTAGAATAATAGAATTGACTATACATGACGTTTCTTTGCAATATGAAAATTACATTGACATCCTGCAAGAGGAGTTTAAAACTGAGTTAAAAGTAATTGTTAAAAAAATAAGATTCCGATTCTACAGACAACTCTGAACTGGATACCCATAAATTGGAGGTTGTTTAAATCCAGGCTTTTATATGTACTTACAATGCCCAGGAGCTAAGTGGAAGCGAAATAATAGGGATTGTCCGCAGTATCAAACTCTGTAGAATTGTAATCCTACTGTATAGCTTATATAATTTTTTAGATAGATTTTTAAAATGATTCGGAAGTTATTTTATCAAAAATTCTTGTTTAGAATTCTATATCCGATGCAATAACAAATTGTAATAAAGCAATGCAAAAGGCTGTTGTGCATGAACGTATGAACGTAACGCATGAGATGCTGAAAAAGTTAAGGGACGAAATTGCTCATGTGATAGAAACATTGTACATAAATTTTGAGCAATCTTTACGTGCTCAAAAAGAAAATATGATTGCTGACTTCAATGAGATCATGAGGTATTAAAAAAATATAGTAATGACGAATATTATTTATTTTATATGATTAATAAAAAAAATTTATCCAGAAAAGAGCGTGCACGTATGGATGAGAAAATGAAGGATTTTGAAAATCAAAAAATTAAAGCTCTCCTTATTCTGAGGCACAGACTTCAGATGCAAAATGCAATAGATCTTGCATATGTTCTGTGCATAGAAAGAATGCATTGTATTGCAGAAAAGAAAGTTATGCACAAATGTTTTAAGGTAAGTAATAAAAAAAATGTTTGCTCAATGTTATACTTACGATTTGAATAATTTTTAGATCCAAATTCGAGCCTTGGAGGAATTACTACTGGACTTGAATGAAGTAATACGTTCCATGAAAAATGAAGAACAGAACAAAATCGACAATGGACCAGCGTGGGAAAAGAAAGTCTATGAAATTGTTCGACAATTTCAGAAATTTATAAATTTTGCATTCGGCGCTGTGCCAGGACAAGCAGAATTTCTACTGTCCCTCGAATCGCTGCTCTTACCCGAATTAGATGAGAAAATATCTAAACGAGAGGAAAGTCAAAAACAGTTCACTGATATTACGTCTGGAACCGAAAAGAAGCAACATTTTCACATTGTGGAAATTATAGATGATGATGGTTGTAAATGGAAACCGATACAACTCATACCAGACGTAAAGATTATTGTATAAAATTATTCTTAATAAGTTTCAGTATCATAATTTAATATATTAATAATTTAGCTACCTGACAAATATTGTACAGAGGAACATTTTGTCACTCCAATCGTAAAATCAAGCATCGACTTCTATAATGACGACGAATATGCTGATAATATATCCAAAAAATCATCTACAACAACGGATAGTAATGAATCCCTGCCATTCTGTTATGTTGGTGGTACATTGTACGTACGATCAGACTACCGTGGTGATATAGATCAAGCAGAGAAGAAAACTATGTTGGATCTGGCGGAGGGTTCACGTTTTATAATGGAATTAAAGAAGCCACAGAGATGTATCCAGGTATAAACTAACATTGATTAAATTCATAAAAATTAATAAATTTCATGAAAATAACTGTTTTAAAGATTCCTAACACTTATGTTTTATGCATTTTTTATATTATTCAATATTAGCAACCAATAGACAATTTGGAAAAGGGAACATCATTGTCACATACAAATTTATCAACGAATGCCAATCAAAAATCGCATCACGATGAACTTATGGAATCAGAAACTCCAAAGCGACCAAATTTTCCAATTTGTCAGAAAAAAACGGAAAGAAATCAGAATAAAACAATTAAACCAGTTGTCGACTATAAGCCACGTATTCAAAGTTTAATACATGCCAGTAAACGCACTAGCAAGTCCTGTATCGGTAAAAAAGAGAATTCTGAAATCAGGAGCAAATTGGAGACACAAAAAAAGGTAAATGGTGATGAAAATTATCACCGGTAATTTAAACCTAATGCAATACCAGTCCTAATACAATATGAAAATAGAGGGAAAATAAATCACAAAAATGTTTTTTAGAATACTGAAAGTATCAAAGACATAGTAAAGCGTCCTTGCATGTGTAATAACGTTACTGTGAATCGCAAAGATGTAGATGATATGTTTAAAACCGTCAGTAAACACGACGTAGAACATTTGCAAACAGTGAGACAGTTCACCTGCGAACGTATGTGTTCCTTAATGCGTATTTTTCGCCTTTATCCCAGTTTGCAGCGAATGATCGTTCCGAAAAGTGGCCAAGCACTATATTAATTCGAGTAGTAAGTAAAAAAGAAATAGACAATATTTATTACTGAGAAAATCATTAATTTTCGTAACAGTGATGTGAATTATTATGATGGAAATTCATTGAAATTTTTTGCATTCCCTGTCTGACAGTTACGATACCAATCAGGATCTCGTTGAAGACTTGATGCGTTTCGTCGATAAAAAGTAGCTTGCATAAGAGATCGTATACCAACTTTAGTTGCCGGAACAGGTGGATAATCCTTCATTCTCCATCCATAAGTCCAACTTGTACAATCAGGAAAATAATATCGATCTTCTGGCGTCTCTTCAAATCTAATTAAACCAGATGAACGTAAAAATTATCGAGAAAATTGCGTCATGTATTATTTATATACAATACATTTATAACATTATAAGTACCTTTTTTGAAGATAATTATTTCCAGTTATAAAACTTTGGACGTTACGTTCATAAATAATTGATTTTGTGACTGGATCAACAGGTCGCATAGGATCGAGATTGACAGATTCGTCAAAATTAGGTGGTCGCCATTCCGGTAACTTTGAAGTTACCTGCGTCTAGTATTGAATTGTGAATTTGAGATTTTATTATAGTTATCGAAGCAATAACATATAAATTGAACTTTATAATCTACATACGTTAGCTCGTTGTTCACGATAAAACTGACGTCGTTTCTCTTCATTCTCAGCGATCAGTATTTGCGCTTTGCTAACGAGCTTCTGACTTCCTAGATTGTCTAAGAGTCTCTGACGGTTCTTTATGAACCATTTCATTCTAAGAGAATTTTCATTTTTTGCTATTTCGTTGTAAAACAGCTGGCAACGAGTGTCGCAAACAGCTCCTGATAATTTTGCCATGACGGATATCTGATCACGGTTCGTGTACCGTTTGTAAAAATAGAAATGTAAAATGGTTAAAATCAATCGAAAATCTGAGATGTACCTGTGATATAATAATTGAACGCCGAAGACATGTTTTTTTGGTTTGGAAATACTCCAAAGCAACTCGAGAGCAGCGAGTCATCTCAATCTCTGTACTATGCATAGCTTCCCAAGAATGAGCAACTTTGCCAAATAAATAATTTCCTAGGATCTTAATTCTGTGTAGTCAATTATTTTTACATACGTTTATTGTAATCTGTGTCTCTCATTATTTACATTATCATTACACATAGTGCTTTGCGTTTTGCATTCTTAATAAGTTTTTTTTAATTTTATCCCGGTATAATATTTATCTTTTTTCGATAGTTGCTAGTGGTACTGGTGGAGGCATGCACTTATATACATGGTACATTAAAAGAAAAACAAAAGTGAAGTTTTGAGAATCGAGAATGTGGAAGAATCGCAACTGTCTACTGATTTAAGTTACACGATATATATATATATATATATATATATATATATATATATATATATATATATATATATATATATATATATATATATATATATATATATATATATATATATATATATATATATATATATGTATATACACACACAAAATATATATATATATATATGTTGCATATATTCTTACATACATGATTTAATTTATTCTAGTATTGATATAATGTAATAATGGATGACTGAATTCGTTAAATAATTAAAGTCTCCGTGTAATCGCAAACTCTAAACAATAACGATTAATTATACATTTTAACAATAGAAAATAATAAATATGTATGGCGTGAAATAATGAGTTTTCACATGACATTACTCCCTCTTAAAGTCAACATCGTATGTGTTTGACCCAGTAATCACAGCCACAGGAAGCAATATTGTATGATACAGTAAAATATAATTAAACGGATATCTCACTTTATTAACGACTAAAGGGAAATTTTGCAGATCCTTCATGGGGTAATTTAATTGTATTAACAAGATAAAAAAAAGTTGAAAGACGTCTGCACGAAGTTTCATGTAGAAATTATAAGTAGCATTTAATGCAATCTTTTCAGGTTGGCTTCCTTGAGTTTTCTTTCGCAACGCCACACTAAATATTAGCTCACTAATATGATAGTTGCAAGTATAATAATTAAATAATTCAGCTGTCAATCACAACAATTTTCATAGCTGATGAAAATTTGTTTTCCATATACTTTACATATAGCTGATTCCTGTGCTTTTGACATTTTCAATTTCAAACGCGTCACGTCATCCACTATGACCAAGTGTTGAATTGATGCAGGTGCATGCGATTAATACTTTTATGGTTTCCACAGTCAGAGTGGATGACTACGTTATAAACAAACCACGCTATTTCAATATCGAAACGATCTAATTTAAAAATCGTTCTGATAACGTCGAAAGTTTATCCTGTTTAAGCGACAAACATGCCCCATAGTTTTCTCAATTTTCAAGAAGTAGATAATACCTGAAATTTCAATTTTACAACTTTTCTATCCTAACGAAACGATTATGCGATATTCATTATGCTAAGTATATTTTTAATTTTCTTTTACCTTCTCTGCATGCACCCCACCAATATATTCCTTAGCTTATGCTTATTGTACAGAATGTATTTAGGCTGCACTCCAATGAAAAGAAGCTCTTCAAATTCAAACTGGCTGTTCACGTGGAGCATGGGCCATCAAGTCGCGTACTATATCGGGACAAAAATAACAGAAATAGATAAATTTTATAATTACAATTAATTTCTTTCAAATTAATGCGTACGTGTTCATCGTCGCTCTAGTTTTTTGGTAGAGTACGAAAATATACAACTTCTTAAGTTCAAGACATCCAGTACGTGTAGATGCAGAATCGTTATACAATTGTAATTTCATTGCAGGTAAATGTTGAGATAGCACGATAATATAAGATACTGTTACCTCAAGTTTGAGGAATAAACAGAATTTAAAAAATATGACAGTAGATAAGCAATGCTTTTTTGTAGCTACTCGCAATTGCCAATGCCCCGTATGAACGATACCACTGATTATTGCATTTAGATCTAATTAATTGGATAGCAGCCAATAATACCAGGATTAATTTATTTTGTCATCGAGATAGTTTTACCTGAAAGTTGATCTTCCTCAAGGTCTCTATTAACGCCACTGAGATGATCGTACGGTTCATCCGAGATGAGTTCGCGGTTTGATGGAAAAGATCGTGTTGGCATGCAAAGTGAACTTCACTTGATACAAAAAAAGTCATTCTGAATGTAACACCTTATTGACTGTGAAAATCACTTTAAAACATTGTTTTGCACATAAGTCTGACATTACCGGGTATATCTAATTACCTAGTTATTGTTACCCACTTGTTTTGTTTGTCATTTCGAACGTGACGTCGCTCGATAACTTTAAAAATACGTCACAGTAAGTCTTAGCACGCTTTTGTTTACTAGAACCAATAATAATTAGTCAGAAATGATAAGGCTTAGTTTCCATTTGTTTGCTTCTTTTTTTTTGTATTTTAATACTAGTCAATCATTTTAATGCATCTAGATTTTAAGAAGTGTCAATTATGTTAATGTGGTATAAAGTGCATCTTGTCCAAAGAGACTTGCATTCCTCTATACTTGACACCGCAATGTGGATAATACGTGGGACTCTCGTGGTAATACAGTGATCGAAATGATTTAAACTACGTGTCATTCTCATTGAGCCTGCGGCCTGCACTTGGCTCCGCGAACCTCTCTAATCATCAATTTTCTTTCATACTTCTTACCAATTACGCGTACAGAATAATATCGTATTAACAATCGGGTTAACAAAATATCGCTCATTAATAATAAACTCTCGAAATGTAAAAATCGGCTCATGGCGGACCTCGATCGTAAAGTTTTTCGATTCGTCTGGCGTTACGTAGTTGTCAGAAGAAGCCTAACTCCTTGTCACTTCGAGCAATACCGGTCCAGAGGTTTTGTTGTTGAAATAGAGTCCAGCTCCTTGAAAGCTATTAGACCTGGGAGAAGTAGCACCAGCAGCAACAGCGGAAGCCGCCACCGAGGACGAGGAAATAGCTTGACTCTGACCTATTCCATTGATGCCATCATTCGCATCCAAGCCATGTGTGTCATCCTGTCTACTATGTAGCGCGTATTTGAAAAATTCGTATCTGTGAATCATAGATTACCCAATCAGTCCTGAATGATGATTTTCTAATACATTATAATCTTATGTATATACATATATATGTTTGATATAGCTCACGTTAAAAATCGAATTGCCCAAGGACATTACAAAGTAAACACATAAGAGAAGATAATTATCACGATTCTTGATAAGAAAAACGTGGTAATAAGAACATCGGAATGATGCTATCGCATCGGATAGTGTCTCAAGCAGTTATGGCAAAATATGTTATAATGATTTCTCTGAAAAATCGAACTACTAACGTTATTCTAAGATACAATGCAGAAAGTTTTACTTACGTGGACCAGCATATTGCAGTAGCTGGCATTTGATAGATAATTCTTGCAGTAAGTCCCCTAAAGTAACCCTGTATTCCTCCGAACCTGTAAACTTGTTTGAATGCGTCTACCATCCCTTGTGCTTGGACACCACCCTGTTGTGTATTCAGTACAGTTTTACAGACATCTAAAGGTGTTGTGGTAGCAGCTGCGATCGCTCCCGCCATTGCGCCTAAGGCAAAAAGAAAGGCGACAGGCGATCTAGTAAAATTGTGGCTCCACTTTCTACAGTGAAAATTTGGCATTGTTTAATGAGATTGCTCACTCTTGAAAATAGTGCTTACCGGAGATCACATGTGCCCTTGGATTATATGAATGGTCCGGATTTGTGATGGACTGTCCAAATTCATAGGCGATAAAGTGGACACACTGGAAAGGCACGTTCATGGCCAACTGGGTTGTGTAACTTCGGTAGAATGCATATAACCCTTCAGTTTTGTACACGTGTCGCATACAACTCGTTACAGTTTTATATGGAGAATTGTACATCTGCAGCCGTTGTTTCACCACTGTAAAGGAAGATTTGCTTCGTTGAAGCAGTTAGCATTTGAGAATGGAGGGAAACGTATATAAGAATACACTTCCACGAGCCGATAAATTGATTATGAGTCTTTATAATTGTACAAATATTTAATGACCATTTCTCAAGTGATTTTATTATATCACATGAAAGAACAGTATAAGCTGTCATAATAATATTACTTCTAGAAGGGTTACTCGTATAAGCTCACCTTCTGCTGGATTCATCACTCCATCATGGAGTACAGTAGCCACGCAGCCAGCTGCACCGTATACGAGGTGATTAAATTGGGATGGTAGTCTCTGATTCATCATTTTGTTTTTAAGAAATTCATAGCATGAAAAGTATAAGGCATGTGCAGGACCTGCACCAACAACCACTGCCCCCATACCCCGGATGGGACGAGAAAAACCTTCCTGTCGTATCATCTTCACAAGAACGTCACCGACTCCTCCACCTCCCCCAGGACCTGGTATCAAAGCTTGCATCCTTGTCTGAAAATTGATAACAAATTTATTAGAACGTTGATAAGTATCAGCGACTGTATCTTTCAATATCTTTATTAGTTCTGATGCAATGATGACACGTGTCATTTTGTCTTGGCAAACATTATAGTGGTTTGACATTACAATTAACCGTTATAGCGTTTGAAATATTTTTTTAATAACGTAACTGCAGTCACGCTGTATGATACATAAGAGCAGTTGCAATGTGATAAATTATTTTACAAGAATTTCCAAGCGTACTAGGAATGATAAGGAGTTCCAACCGTTAACATTTCTTCGAATCCCACATCGTGAACGAGTGCATCTTAGAATCTGTAAGAGAATTTACGAATATGTCCCAGCCTGGTTCTCGAGATCTATAAAAGAATTTTCAAAAGTAAAATTATTAAGTGACACGTGAATTTACTGGTGTCTCCTATTCCTTTTCTTCCTAGACAGTGAAAAACCTCGGGCTAATACTTGATATGTATTATGCATGCGAAAAAAGTAACTCTAGTTTTAAATATCATGACTTGCATTATGCAAACAGACATTTCTCGTGTCTGTTGCTTGTTCGAAAAAATGACGCTCGAGTACTGTTCCAGTGGAGTTATGAAGATCATCAAGCAGAACATAAAAATCATTGTTACACGCATTGTGGGTATCTATCGCTACGCATGTTTTGTTGTATGGAATAGATGATTACATAAGCGTCCAAATTTATGTCAGCCGGGAGAGACGTGTTAGTTTTTTAACACTATCCTTTCTCTGCAAGAATAACTCTGCTCATTTTCCTCAACTTAAGGGAATTCCGATTGAACAGTCATTGAGTGCCCAGTCATCTGTGAAATGCAGTAGACTTTTTAGTCACGGAGGACAGAAAACGTTTGTACGGACCGTCGTCAGAAAAGGTAACCAGAAATAGACTATGCTGCATAAGCCGGTACGTTATATAATGTGTGATGTGTGACGGAGGAAGCCACACTCCGAGTGAATATATATATATATATATATACACACACATTGAACGCACAGGAATATCTACCTTGTTGGTCAACCCAAATATAAATTGGTGCCTCACTCAGAAAATATTGCATGACCAAACGAAACAGTTGCGGTTTAACAGAAAGCCATAAGGGTTTAGTGCATTTGATTTATACAGGAAGATATAAAGAGATGAGTGCATTAGTGAGTAAATATGCGACAAGTGCAAGATATGCGCGTGCGCTATTGCTTTTATGCCACAATCACTCGACGGAGTCACCGACATTTTGTAATTTAAATGAAAGAAAAAGTAATAGTTTACCAAGAGATTATATCATATTTCATTGTTTATCTATGTTAGTCGTAATTTATTTGCCAGTTCATGGAAGTAATGTTTATATCTTTTAAATTGGTTTATGTGCTTTCATGTTGGTGTATTGTACAAAGAATTGATCATTTGATAGAATTATATTAAGAACAATTACTTTGAAACTAGTGTACATAGAATGTGATGTAATTCTTTGCATAGATGAAAAGTAATTATAGTAAATTTTGTAATGTCACATGGGAAAACTAGAAATACTAAATATGATTAAAGAATACAAAATAAGGTGGCAATTGATCGTTACATTTGTATCTGGATACTTGTATTCACTGAATTTTTATATAATATATTGAATGATTGTTTATATCTAATTTAGAAAAATAAATATCGGTGTTTAGCTTCCTTGATATTGATGTGTTCTGTTATGAAGTTTAGTATTCATACTTATATATTTCATATACTCAAAATGCTAAGTGAGATCAATTTAAATAGCGCATTCTAAGATTGCAGTATATTTATCAAGTATTTGGCAGAATTGAATTACCATTACAATCAACTGACATGATTAGAAAAATACCTTCATAGAAACACATACACTTTGATCAAGTTATCAGCTAAATGCTCAAGAGCAGTATAATATTCTATATGTAGAATCTTTAGAAATTTTTATATATTGATTGTATAAAAATTTATGGAATATGTGTAATATGGAGGTGTAAGGCTTATTATTCACATCTGTTCAGTTATTTAACAAGAATCAATCTTTTGCATACAATGAATTTCTTATGGTGCATATTTTAGAATGATGTCACTCCTGTCCATGACCTTTCACAGCATTAACTAACATGTTTCAATATACACAATTTATAATTTTAATACATCACTGCAGAGAATTTTGTTTTTCAACATTGTTGTTTGTTCTTTGAAGTAAATGAACTCGAATTTTACAGCACTACCTCATACATTCCTGCATAAGGGATATATAATATTCCAGTAGAATAATATTTACTTTCCAAAATATTCCTTCCCATTCAGAAAACTTTCACGTGCAAAGTCTTCAATCACCGCGATTATTTACAACTTCGCAAATAGTTTATAGCACAAAGTCTGCAGAATGATCTTGTCACCAGTCACATGTGATTTCCATGAATTTGAATGCTCCCAAGGTAAACTCATCCTCTTGATGTAAACATCGGGATCGGTATAAATCCTAAAAGTCTCATAAGACAAAGAACATTGTTAAATAATCATTAGCAAAGAATAAAACATCCTGAAATTCACCAGTAAAGTATATCAACTCAGCGTAACCGCATCCTGTTCATATGTTACATTTCCCAATAAGAGATAATAAAATATACCCCGAGTATACCATCATCGCCGATACAACTTGTGATATTTCATTATCACAGGAATTACTAAAGACTCCTTTCGAGTAATCCCATACTGTACATCCTTACAGCACAACTTGGTAAGTCTCCTCAAGATAGTTTAAGATCCAAGAAGTCACACGAGAGGCAATGGACGCATAGGTTATGTAAATCTCAGAAGAAGACATGACGGTAAGTAGAGGCTGTACCTTGGCACTGTCAAGTGGATACATGATGCAGTGTTCCATAACTCCTGCAAAGGCACCTGCTGTCATGTGTACAGCCACTGAGGACGTAGGCAGACTCTCGTAATCCTGTATATCCATAGTTTTCGAAGTGTACCAGGATAGCTCTCCTGCGGGTCTTTGAAATGTCGCGGGGCTAACACGTTCCTGACACACCACGCGATTCTTTTTCAGCTAACCCACTGTCTGTGTAAAAACCTAGGCACCTTCACGTTTTAAATCACTCTACAATCTTCTTGAGATTCGAAAAAAAGCGGCCGTTCAGTTAAGCGACATGTGATCGTACACGACGATCATGTCTTAATGGGGCCGCGTTATTGCTGTACAAGCTGTAGCTCTTGGTAGTAGACTGACTCTCACACGGTTATCCCCACCACATTGTTCTATTGCCAAGAATCGGAAAATCCACACTGGATGAAAAATGACGTGACTTAGTACGCATCAGAATATGTAATTTACATTGAATTGTACAGACGTGCGATCAAAAAGGCTACGACCCTTTCGCATTTTATTAAGAGAACTGCTCCGGAAAGTCGTTACACAAGTTAAGGAGGTTAGCAAAGTGAGCACGTGGCGCGCCTGCGCTCCGAACCACGTGGTTATACTATAAGATATACTGGGTGACATGGAAGTTTTCATTATGCCGGTCGAGCAGCGAATTCCTTTCGTGCTAGAGTAAATTTTACAGTGAATTACCTTACAATTAGACTGTATTGATATTATCTTTAGCATTTGGAATATGCAATTTTTTCAGACTGTTCGAACGTACTATTACAGTTGTACGTACTCAAAAGAATGATGATAAGATACACATATGGATTTATTGGAAGATGGACGCGTAAACATCAATGTGTATTTCTTTAGCGTGATTCCAGATATAATAGAATTTCTTCTTAGAATTTACAATGAACAGTGTAACATATAACAGAGGCAGGTACCTACGTATGTATGCTTTTCTCTGAAACAAATAATCCCAGCAGTCGTACTAGTTGCCTCAAGCTGTGTACCTGGATATCAAAAATAAATGCACGAATGGTACATACATACATACGTAATACGCAGTATTATTTGCGCAGTACATCTGGCCGGTCGATTCAATCATTGCAATAACTATTACCTTAGATGGTGTTCAATTATATGATATTCTCAATATTTACAATGTTTAGTGTATATGTCTATTAATAGGATCCATAGACAATAATGTCGTTTGCATGAAAGATAGTAATACACTATAACAGCAGATAGAATAAATCTTTCAAAGCTGTCAATCTGTTTATGGCGGCTCGGACTTCCCCGGCTTCTGTTATAAATTCTCGTTAAAAGTTTTGTCACAACCTTATAGCAAATATATGTACATATGCAGACGTCGCGAGACGTTTGATATTCACAGCAATGATAAGGAACGATATAGTAAGATGACCATCTTCTTTTGCAGAAGTGATAGCAGTTTTTGCATAATGTAATCGATTCTCCAAAAATACATATTTGAAAATTGTTAACCGCCGGTAGCGCTCTGTTTTCTCTCCGCAAGACCAAAAAGTTGAATGATTTGATATATAAAGATTCGCAAATTATTGTATATGAAATTATGCTGACTAGTCGTGGATAATGCATGACGGTTTTTGATCGCATTGCATATGTATAAATTTATAATAAATTGTAGAAACAAGGTTGTACGATTGCTGTAACTATGTATTTACAGGAAAAATAACAAGATAACTAGATAGATGGTAAGAGTTTTTGATGTTCAATATATCGTAAGCAATTCCTAGCTTGTTGCGTTACAGGGTATGTTATGCTATATTGCATAATCGAGAAAGGAACGAAATAGAGGCATGCTTACAGTGTAAAAGGTTTTTGTTGGCATAGGAAAACTGAAGTGACTATTTATGACCTTCTACTTATAACTATACAAGGCCATAAATGATCTTTAACCTACACATCACTAAAAATTAACAAATTTTTATCGAGTGCTCGATAACAGTATATTTCGAATAATAACACCAATATGTATTTTGAATTCTGATATATTACAATAATCTTTAATAAGGTAGTTCATTATGAAATGAGATGTATGATAATATATCAGTTGTGATTGTACATAGTATGATATAAAGATGTTTAGGGAAGCACGATTCATGAAGATATATGTAAATTATAATTCCATAGACATGATGAGCGTAATCTGTATACGTTCATCTGATGAAGCTGTTGTTATTGTCTATTCAGTGTCTATTAATTGATACTGTAATAACCCTAGCAATTTGAACCACCGTCAAATTATCCTAAAAACCACTGATTTGTTTTTTGCAAAAAACCGATGAATCGGTCGTAACGATTCTTAAAACGAGTTCCCTGAACATTTTTATTCGGCCGTTTTTTCAGTCGCCGATGCACCAAAGCTTTAGGGCAGTCGTTTTTGAAGTTGCTATGACTGATTCTTCGGTTTTTTTTTTTTTGTAAAAACCACTCGATGACTTCCCGGTGGTACTTACGGTAAATTAGCCGAAAATGAAGGTGGTCAAAATTGCTAGGGAAATAATCAATGAAAGAGAAATATCAATATTTGTAAAAAATGACTATGTAAATGTAGAACGAGTTTTGTCATAATGCAGGATGATATCGCGTATACGATATAACATATACAAAAATTTGTTTTTATTTGGAAGCCAATAAACTACAATTGAAATTTATTGAGGCAATGCTGCTATCGCAGGTGCAGCATACGATATTCTTTCATTATAACTTATATTATGAATTTCAGGCACTGTTATATTACAGTCAACTATGTTATTTCAAACGCAAAGGGATATATTAAATAGTTTTTTTTAGTAATATACAGTACTTGCATATTTGTAATATACCAATATACAGGTTTATACACAGTGAATATATTTATACATGGTCTATAACGTGTCTCGCTACTGTTTATCAAAGATTCGAAATGGTACAAATCTATTATTATGGAAAGTATTATTTATTACGTTACTTTTCTATTACGTTATTGCAACACACTTTCAGCGCGTATTTCAATAATAATTTATTAAATTTCAAACTTTTCTTAAGGTTCTCTTGATCTTGCCCAACAGCTGCTTCACTTTCTACGTTCGGAAGTACCGTATGTACATGCCTTTTCGTTTTCTGGCATGGAAAATAGATTTTATAGGTATAAATTCTACATCTGTTGCTTTGTGATACCCGTAATGTGTTAGGGATTAGATTGCTGTTGAAGGATAAAAAGAAGTCCAGTTATCTGAACAATAACGCGGTATTAGTGTTGACATAGATTATTAATGTTTACTGCAATTTCGTTTTGGCGTTATGAATTGTCGAATAAGTAAGTTTTCAAAATATCTCGAATAATCGTCCGGTCAACACTATCGGAAGACGGGTAAGCGCACAAGCAACTGGCAGCAGGGCACTTCTGAAAACTGTTGAAACTCGTACTGCTTGAAAATTTGTACAACGTTCCAGTCCTGTCACTCGTTGCTGGATCTTCTTTTGAAGCGGTTCAGTATCTCAATCCATGGACCACTAGCTATGCCTGGTTAGATCTTCTACTTCGTCGGGACGAGCTGGAAAATAGTGGCCGAGGCTTGTAGAGGTCGTCACTCGAATATCGTTGACTGCTTCTCTGTCGACTGCAATCATCCAATAAAAACAAATGTTTTACAATTGGAATCACACTGCTTGTTAAACGATCTCTTACTGTTCTTTATGCCAAGAGAATATGCCAATAAAAGAAATGAAGATAGTCACGGCTATTTTTTGTATCTATCTTCTATAAAATATATAAACACATTCGGCAATGAGGTCTTGCTTGTGGGCATGAGCTAGTATTAATCCACATTATTCTGATCGCATGGCATTATTACATGGATCATTGGTATGTTTAATACAACTAAAATTTAATGATTCGTACGAATTTTTTTAGTGCTTGAAAAAATCGTCAATTTTTCTTTGCTACTGGGGTTAAAGCATTAAAATACATGAATTCTTCTTTGAGAAAAGTTATTGCAACTCTCTAACAGCTCAAAGTGTTATCAAAAAAAAAATAATCATAATATGTTGTTTCAGTTCCAAGAGATAGCGTAGAGATCTGTCTCATGCTTTTATAATTACTGTGTTGACTTCATGTCAAACAGACACAACATATGCTAATGATATCAATTTAAATGTATTACTGGAATTTCAAATAAATTCACACTAATATTTCTCTTAATGCTTTTATAGTTATTGCTTTTATAATTGCATGCCAATATTTCTGTAGTAGAAGGATTTGTAGTACCTTTTATCATCTTTTATGGGATGAGATGGTATTTTCTCACTGGTGGCTGATACATCGCTCTCTGGACTTAAGGGCATCACAAAGTTCTCTCCGTTCAATAGATTGTGGGGTGTACAAGGACCTGAATTTGTTCTTTGTTTTTTAACTCGAGCTAGCTTCCTTTTCTTTATGCTATTCGGACCGTCATGATCAGCTAAAGCATCCAACATTTTGTGCCCATCGTTATTATTATTCGAGGTATTAATAAGGATATCGGATAGAGGACTTGTCGAGTGTTTACGTTTGGGCAATGGAGGCGCCATGGTTTTTGAAAAAGATGACACCATTTGACCACCCAAACTCTCTATCATTTGTTCTAAACTCTTGGCACCCTCATCCGGTTCATACGATTTTAGGAAACTTGAAAATTTCAAATATTTCTCATTGTCAGCTTGGAAGTACAAGCATTCTTCTTGGTGCCCCATTGATGATTTTAACTTGCTGATCTCCTGTTTCTCCGATTCTTCAGTATCACTGTCATGGTGCTTGGATTCTTTACTGACATGAGTAGTTGAACATTCACTTTCCAAATTCAGTACAGTACTAATTTTGATTGGATCTTCTTTTATCCTCACTGAACTCTCTGCACGTTGAATTGTATCATTTTGATTCGAGAATGCTGACGTAGAACTTTTGATGATTTCGTCGATATTTTGACTTTCTTCAATATACTTGTCAGCATGTGATGTATCTTTAACTCTTAAGGGAATATTTTGGATTTCCTGGTTTTCAATGAATTCTTTAGATTTTTCGTTATTCGTTAACGATTCTTGGATAGCATTTGTTGAACTCTGTTGTTCAGACATTGTTTGATTAATATTTATTATTTCTGGATTCCTCGATGATAAGTTCACTAGTACTTTACTGCAGAGTGGACTCTTCTGTGATTCACCTGAATTTACGTGATTGGTTTCTGCTTGCGCTGTTCCTTGCGGTTCTGTTGGGTTATCAATAGTTGTCATGACGTTAGTGGTTTCTATCAATTTAGTATCAGAAATCATTTCAGTCAATGACTGTCTTATTGATAGTTCCATTTCAGATAAAGTAGAATGTGCATTAGATCGTAATGATGGTTCACCTTCAAGTATTACAAATGAGCTTTCCTTTAAAGTTAAATTTGTCTGCTTTTCCGGATATGGCTGTTCATAATCTTCGTCAGGAATTTCAACGATCTGAACGCGCTCTTCGTCAGGTATTGTACTGATGTTATCAGGGTCATCCGATGGTTTCGGTGGTGGTGGTGACGATACTGGCTGCAATTCCTTTACAGTCTCAACCTCGAGTTTCCTTTGTAATTCTTCATTGTGCAATCGTTCTCGTTTTTCCATACGTTTGCGAACTTTCATCAGCTTCTTGGCCTCGAATATATTTTTTGCGAATTTCGGTTTTTTAATTCTATTCTCTCCCAAGTTGCTGGATGCATCATCAACAAGCAGTGGACGTTTTTTCAGTGGCAGAGTCAACTCCAACGAGCCAAGATTTAGCTTTTGTGGATTTAATTCCGAGTCATCAATTTTAGTTTCTGACATAGTTTGATCTTGATGATCACAGGATTCATTATAAACTTTTGTTATTGGTTCTATTGATGAATTTTTTAATTCATCTAGTTGTGATTCCTCAATACCGTCTGATGTCTCACTGCTGGAATTGCTGGTATTGCTGGATTCCTTTGTGATACTTGATGAGACAGCCTTACCAGAAGAGGTACTGGAACTGGAGTTGCTCTTTTGTGAACTTCTACCATTTGAACCGTTTGAACCATCTCTGTCCGTAGAGCGTCTATCGCTTGAGTTTTTTCTAAGACTACAATGCTCATCCTTTGACTTTGATTTTTTCTCGTCTCTGCGTTTTCTCTCCTTGATTTGTGAATCCACCTTTGCTTCTTTTTTATTATCTGCTTTATGACCCCTTTCCAAATCTTTATTTAGTATGTCATATTTCGATTCTTTCTTTGTTACTAACTTTTGCATATCTTTTTTCAATTCTGTTTTGTCATCTTTATCAGTTTTTACCAATTTTTTAATGTCTGTTTTGTCAAACTTTTCGGCAGAATCTGATTTCATCAATGAATAACTTTTACTTTTGCTGTCTTTGGAATATCGTCGATCGTCACGCTTTCCTTTGTCCTTTGATTCATTTTTTGTATCCTTGGAATCGACACTTTTTGTACTTGATTTATTATCAGTTTTAATTAATGATTTGTCATCGATTTTTGCAGATTTACTTTCCGGACGACTCGAACTCGCATTTTTGTATGATGAAACTTTGTAATCCTTTTTATCTTTTTTGTCTTTTGATGAATCTTTTCTGTCTTTGAATTCTTTACTTGATTTATTGTCTTTATTATCCTTGTTCAATTTTTCTTTTTCGGTTAATTCTTTCTTCTCCCTCAGCTCCCGGATCTTTTCTTTGTAGATGTCCTTTAAATCTTTAACTTCTTTCACCGCTATATCTTTTTTATCTGAGTCTTTTACCCTCTCTTCCTTGGGCTTGATGATAGCTTCTTTGCTTTTCTCGAAGCTATCACGACTTTTTTCTGTACCCATTCGTGACGTTTCCGTTTTGTCTTTAGACTTATCTTTAGAATATTTTTCGTTTCTCAAACTACTGTCTCGATTTTGTTTCTTTTTGTAATCCTTCTCTTTATCTTTATAACTCTTTAGCTCCGATTTTTCTTTGGACGACTTCGACTTGAACGAATCACTGTCTCGACTTTTATCTTTGGATTCATATTTATCTTTAATTGCACTATCAGTAGCATCCCTCGAACTTTCTTTAGAGGACAAATTACTTTTAATACTTTTGGACTCTTGAATGAGATTATCTTTATATTTGTCCAAGTCAGAAGCATTTTTATCTTTATGTTTACTAGTTTCGAATTCTCTGATTGCTTTAAAGTTGTCCTTTGCATACTCCTCTTTGATGGAATCATCTTTGGAGGTGTCTGGTAGCGGAGTTGATGCATGGTTTGAACAACTGAAGTCAGTAACGATGGAAAGTCGTGAATCCGATGAAACTTTGCTTAGCTGAGAATCTTGATTGCTGAAATCTAAATTGTCCCGAGAAAAGTCATTAGAAAAATCAGGGCTTCTGGATCTATGACTTGTTAACTCAGATATTCCAGAAAGATGAGAATCATTGGAAATATTTGATTCATTGAGATTCATTATATCGATTGGCTCAAATACTGGACTATCCTCCTCATCTTCTTCTACCTTGTCATCTGATTTTAATGAATTGTTTATATTCGAATTTGATGCCGTTCTGCTTGATATTTTATTAGGACTCTCTGATCGTTTCTCATTGGTGAGAAATTGTGCATTGTCAGAGTTATCATCTCCAATAGTTTCAATAAATTGCGATTTTTGTTCATTAATTGACAATGATGTTTCATCATTCTTAACATCAATATTATCCATGTTCGCATCCACAGACTCAAGTGACACATCTTTTAGACTGTTTTTGTCAGATTCTGGAGAAACAGGATCTAAATCTTTTGGTAACAAATCTTTAAGTCCACAAGAACCGTTTTTCTCTCGTGCTTTAGGTCTCTCTAAGCCCAGGAATTTGTATACTACGTCTTCAATTTGCGGCATAAACACAGAGTAGACCTTTGGATTTACCACTTGATCTACTATGCGTTCCACACCAGTATCTAAGTATGGTGCTTCATGTATATGTTTGCGCAAGGTTTCACGAAGCTGATTTTTGTTGAGATCTGCTTTCCATACTTGCTTAGCAAGAAAGGAATTCACTGATCCTTCCACGCGTGTATGTAGATTTTGATACGCTGGCTATAATAAACAAAATTATCATATATTTACTATCTGTATATTATTGTATGAACATTATACTTATAAAGCATAATTTAATATACAAAAGAGTACAAAGACAACAAAATATTCAAATGTTAACATGAACAAATGTTTACATCATACTATCATGTATGTCGACAAACTATTTCTTAGGTATAAATTTCTATAACTTAGATTAATAAATCATTTACATAATTCTCAATAGTACATCAGGTTAAATAAAGTTATAATAAAAAAAAATGCATTATACCTTTGTATCAACATCAGCGATGCATTCCTTACGGAATTGATCAAAGATTCCTTGTGATTTGACTTCTCCCACAATATGATCCACTAACCGTGGATCACCAGCTAATAGAGTATTACTCAAGCCGACCTCCATGATAATTACAAGTCAAAGCACAGTAAAATTACACGAGAACACATAAAATCATTGCTATGCTTCACTACGAGACCTGCTTTATGCAATGGAGCATGGCCATCTTTATTTACGGCCAGGCTACATAGGAAGCGGCCATCTTAGAAAATGTGTCACGAATAGAAATGGACCGTGCCTTGATAGAGTCGTAGCTTTTTCACGCATTGTTTTATTCCCCAATTAAGTTACAGCATTGGCTCGTTGTAGCGTTACAAAATGAAGAGTCCACTGTGCTATTTCTTCGTGTACGCAACGCTTTTCTTCAGGATACATTCTCATATGGATTATCGAAACTGATAGCGATTGGCCAAATCTACAAGACGTGAGGCGCTAAACAAACATTAAAAAGTTATCCAATACGAAAGAACATACAATGTACGTTCAATGGTCAAATATGGCGAGTCATTAATCGACAGTGCGAAATATCGTTCGCGAAACTTCGCAAATTTCTCAAGGTTCTTTACCAGGCGATCTCTTCCATTTGACAGATCACCAAAATCGAATAACAATAGGGCTGAGAGCAAGGGCTCTTGAGCCATGAAGAGAGTGATTATTTTCGTCAATGGCACCGATGTAAACGGCAAGGTGATACTTCAAAGTCTTTAAAATAATTTGCAAACTCTTTTAGAGTAGTAAGTAGTTTCACTTCTGCTAGAAGTTAATACAGTTATTGTTGGCTTGTCACGTCGATCCATCGACTGACGAGGTGCCTATCTGCTTTACAGATTACGACTGCGCAGTTGATGTCAATGACGTTATTTGACTTTGTTTACTGTAAAGCTTGAATTCAAAATGTCGCGGGATTCATTGTTGGAACGATTTCTAGGATGCGTTTGATTCAAAATTTAAGATTATGGAACACCTTGTTTAATGTTAAAGAACGGGGGATTATGGGACATTGTCGCGAAAAATGGTTTAAGAATTATTTTTAAATTAATTTTCTGTAAACCTTTCTAAGAGTTAGTGTGGAAATGGTAAATGTACATGATCATAATGTTGTTATATTTACAAAAAAGAAGTGAGATATGATAGATCAATTATTTGTGCAGGTATTTATGGTGACGCATTCTGTCGGGGAATTGTTGATGGCAGCCGGTTTGAAATTTGAAATGACGGCGAGAAGACTTTTTACACCGCAGGGTGGTGAGATAGATGATATTAAATTAATTAGGTATGCTTATTATTCGGATTCTGTTTTAATATCATATTACTATTACAATCGTTGGAACCTGTTCTGGTTCTAAGTAAAATGTTCTGTTTGGTTCACTGTTGAAGTTGTGGGTAAAGGGGATGTATGCTAATTTTTGTTTAGGGATGATGATATTTTGTATGTATCGAGTGGGGAGGACTTTGTTCATAAAAGTAAAAGCATTGAAGTCAATAATGCTGAAAGAGATTCTGACTGGATCACACTAAATGTGGGTGGAAAATGTTTCATTACAACTCGGAGTACTCTTACAAACAAGGAACCCATGAGTATGCTAGCAAGGTACTATTACAATTATAAGGTTGAAGGTTTTTTTAACAATTAGATGGTATAGAGAAATAGTTCAGGAAAATTGTATTTTTTTTTTTAAAGAATGTTTACGTGGAGTGAAGATTCCGAATGGAAAATACAGCCAAGTAAACAAGATCACACTGGAGCATTTCTAATAGATAGAAGTCCAATGTACTTTGAACCTTTGCTAAATTATTTAAGGCACGGACAATTGATTCTTGACACCAATCTCAATGCAGCAGGTGAGGTAGTTAAATAAATGTTATTATTTATCCTATGAAATATATCCAGAATGTATTGAATTATTTTATTCATCTTCATCTTACACAATTACATTTCTTCTCTGCATTCATACAAAATGGATATTAGTGTGGTAACTAAAATATGTTTTTTCGAATAGAATCATTTTTGCAATGCATACCAAATATAGTTTGACGAGAAACGTGTTTTCGTTTCCTATCGCGATTTGTTGGTTTTCTTCGAGAGGCATAAATTACTTGAGGTGCTTTACTACCAATATTCATTATTGCAGTTGGAAATATATGAGTTATATTCTGTCCTTGACAGTCTCTTCTATTGTATTGAAAAATTGCATGTGTTTCCTTGTTTAGCTGGAAAGTGTTTTATTGATTTAAATATATATATAATTATTATAGTGATTCAGAAAATTGTAAAATCATTTTATAGACCATTATGGGGTGTACGATGCAACTTTTATTTAACTGATTATTTTTTAATAAATTTTGACACTGACCAATTCAATATCAGAACTGCTGCTAATCATCACACTCTCATTGATATCCAAATCTTTTCTTAAACTGTTCTTATTTTTATTCCGAAAGAGGAAATTGTTTCTTTGAGCAATGATATCCATTTGTTGTTGATGACTATGTTTGATAATACTTCTGTCCCAATTCGAAGTTCTTGTTAATAGTGATTGCATTTCCTTATCAATCTTCTCCACTTTTTCCTTTTAATTTGTTTGAATAATTTTTGTATTTAAATAACTTATTTCACAAATATTAAGATAATGTATAAAACACATGAAGCAATTACATTTCTTTTGACATACAGAGCAATGCTGGGGTTAATTATAGGTTGAACAGTTCTAGCTCCTATCATATTTAAACAGTTATTTATGATATTCCGCAATTTTATGCGTTCTTCTAATAATTCTGTAACGTCACTGATAACTATGGTTGGTTCTGTGATAACACCTATGTCGCAGGAATAACTTGTATGTTCATTCGTTTTTTCTATTATCCCCATTATGTATTTTCTTAATTGAATCAAATTTTGTGATCTTGTTCCATTAAATAAAAGGATACATGTTTATCGATTATTCAGCTTTATCAAATAATGTTTGGATATAATTGAATTTTGTAATGACATATACTTGAATTCGGCTATAATAAAAAGGATCGAGTCTGTCAAGTACATATCAGTACAAGGTATTACGTTCGAAAAAAAGATTAGACGCTCGAATTGAAAGATGACGGCGTGGCAATTGCGTCATGTGTTCCAGGAGTTTTGGAAGAAGCTCGTTTTTATAGAATAGAAGGTGCTATTGGCATTTTGGAAACTATGGTATCGCGACAGGGAACCAGGGATAAAGGAATGGCACCGTTAACGCGTCGCGACGTCCTCAAAGCAATCCTTTCGACGTCCACAAATTCTGAACTTCGTTTTCAAGGGGTCAATCTGGCGGGAGCTGACTTATCGCGACTCGATTTGCGAAACATCAATTTCAAGGTATTGATAAGTTTTACAAAACTTACGTTATACTGATTGAATATAGAAAAAGGAACTTTTTAAATATTTTACGATTTCAGGATAGATAAAATATTCTAATTCAATTAATTAATTTGTTTGTAAGAATCGTAATGGAGTGTTGTACGTTGAACATCTACATCATCTTATAAGATGAACAGTTCTAGCTGTAATTGTCCGATGTATCAGTCTGATGATATCCCTCGAGTCAAATAAATAATAATTCGTATCAATGTCCCATTGCCAATTTACGAACCACAATTAACGAACGTTTCGTAGCAGGAAATTCGATCGTATCGACCGGATACGGGATTGGATCCAGTATTTGAGATATCGAAGGAGATGTGCATTGGGGATCTTCAAATAGGGTATAAGATTATACAGTGTCTGAATAATATTTCTTGAAAGTCATCGACAAACGATCGAACTCTGTCAACGTTGGGCAAGTACCTAACGAACCATTTCAGACCAGGAAATTTGATCTTGGCTGAAAGGAAATGGTGTCAGAGGTTGGCGTTTCATTGAAGGTCTCCCGTAGCTACAGTAGCCAAATGGATTTATTTGAGATGCGTTAACCTTTACTGAAGACTATGCACAATACTTTGAATCGTTACAAAGACGATTCTCTTTGCTGATTTCCTTTCTTCGTTTCTAAAACTTGCTTGTCGTCTTCATTTAAGAGAAAAATAGGAAAAGACCTCGTTGAAGTTCGGAGCGATCCTAGAATTCATTTCTTTCTTCTTCTTTGAAATCAACTTAAAAGCATTCAGTACAGTTTCATGCGATAGTAGTGCGTTATTTAAAAGTTTTTATATTTTCTAAATTAAATATTTATTTTGCAATATCTTTAGACTAAAGAAGTTAAAGTCACACGAAACATCTTATTTTTTTTTTTTAATTTATTATCTGTAGTATAAGTTTCTGTTTTTATGTTCATTCATACCGACGCTAAAGTCTACTGAAATATTGAGTTCACCCAGTATCTCCTGGAAACTGTGTACTAAGATATTTTTAGCAGAAACGGTTTAGTTAAGCTGTGTCAACAAAATGTATCATTCAGGAGTCCGCTATAGTTCTGCATAAGAGGCATCCTTAAAATATCTCTATAACTGGTACGATCAAGTATTCTGCCCTATTTGAGACATCCGTCGAGCTGTTGACATGAGAATATTTGAAATTTTTCTTATTCATTTGTTGAGGATGTTCATAAGATAAAGATGTAATACATTTGTCAATATGGGATTTCCATCCCCTTGAGACTTTTGTTTCTCGTTTGCTTTCAAGGAGTTTGTTGGAAAGTTCGAGAAATTCTGAATTCCTCTCTCGAAGGGAATAGCCCGTTAGTAGTTTAAGGGCAGCAGGTACGTATCAAGCATAAGAGGCCTCAGGGTGTAATTTCTCATTGTAGGATAAAGTTAATACTATTTTGTCAGAAAGTCATCAGACAAAGGCAATCTAACTTTTGACACCTTTATCAAATGACGAAGTTGCTTTTACTATATTTTTCATGCAAATATACTTGAACATTGAGTAACATAAAATATTGTAACGCGCTAAAAAATTATCGTATATCACGTTACTACTTGACAAGCACGCTCGCAATTTATTGCCTGATTTGACAGTATTCACGAATTCGCCGATTAAATATGCTTTTATCCCATAAACAATATTCTCACATGAAGTCTTCTCCAAAACATGTAGTTATCAGATAACTTGTTAATAATACAATAATTTTCTTTAAATTATCAAAATAGTAATAAAAATATTTATGGTCAATACCATCCTAGTATTACATTTTTTATTGTATGTGTTAATAGAGTCAATTATGGACAATATACATCCCATGGGATTTAACAGTTTAGAGAAGCTTTAATCATTCATTCGTTAGATCACGTATGTAAACGGTATCCAATCAATGGTATCCTTATTAATGATGGATCAAAGCCGATCCTCTAGTGAATCAAGTCGACTTATCGACTGAATTAGGGGATTGCCCTTTACCCTGCTCCGGGACCCGGGACTAAGCCATTATTTAGGTGGGCTAACATATTATCCAGTAGGATAAGCAAAATGCTTCACGTACCACACCCATCACAGATCCGTGCACACGGAATGTACGAAATCGTCGTTTACCACATGGGGTGACCCAGTGAATTTTAAAATGACCAACCCTACTTATCCTTTCTGACATAATGTCGATAAAACATCGCAGCTGTCCTTAAGCTGATTATCGATGTGCTTCTATCACTTTACTTGACAAAGCCTAACCATTACCTAAACGATGCCATACAGGAAGATACAAAAGTGGTTTCTTAATTGGCCCACTTTCCACTTTTTTCCAATTCACAACCTCAAAATGTGAATACTTTGGTGAACGGAGGAAGTGAGTATCATTATCGTGAAAACCACTTCTGAATCTTTCCGTACAATATTTTCGTTTAATTGGCGATAAACGAAAATTTTGGTAACTATAAGTAGGATTGTACTTTTTTATAATCTACTTCAGCAGGTTTTGATATTTATATGAATGTTTCTTCATTGGTTTTAATTCATTTAATAGTTTGAATCTTCTTTTTTGTTCGAATATAGTATGCCAATCTACGCGGTTGTCGATTGGTCGGTGCAAACTTGTCAAAATGCTGCTTGGAACGTGCGGATTTATCTTGCGCAAATCTTGAGGGCGCACAGCTGATCTGCGTGAAGATGCTGTGTGCCAATCTCGAGGCTGCCAATCTACGCTCCTGTAACTTCCAGGATCCACTCGGTTTGCCTGCTATAATGGAAGGGGTTAACTTGAAAGGTGCCAATCTCGAAGGCAGCAATATGTCTTCCGTGAATCTTCGTGTGGCTACTTTAAAGAATGCTATACTGAAGAACTGCGATCTTAGATCGGCTGTTCTAGCCGGAGCAGATCTTGAGGTAGGTCACAAAGAACTTTTTATTTATTTATTTAATAGAGAGAGTAACGGTGTTTCTCATTACTTTGATTTTGCAGTGCTGCGATCTATCCGGATCTGATCTTCATGAAGCAAATTTACGGGGTGCCAATCTCAAAGACACAACCTTTGAGTTGATGCTGACGCCACTTCACATGTCCCAGACTGTACGATGATAATAAATGAAAAGATACGTATCCCAGAGGAAGCGTAGCAACGGTCCTGAAGGGTATGCAGATCCATACAAATCCTACACTACATTCTATCCTGTCACACATTTTTTTTTGAACAATTTTCCAAACACCTCTAACGGATTTGCAGTTTCAATCACGAGGATTTACTGTAACGAAATATTCCTTTTGGATGAGAATATTCACGTATATAATAAATCCTTCATAGATGTATATTATAATAGCTATAACGCCATTACAAAGCTGCGTTAAACCCTCATTAATCCCTTAATAATGTGTTTTCGGGTATTTGTGAATCAGCAACTATAAATTTTCCATGCTTTGACTTGTAACCTGTGTAAAATCAGACAGGTATTGATTTACTTACAAGGTCCTTTCCCTCGTGTTGGATTTTACAAACGAGAAGTTGCAGTTGATGTTTGAAAACATTAATAATTCTCTAAGAGGCTTCGTAAAAGTTACCTTGTACATTTTTATGTCAACTAAATATTCTCATGAGGATTTAGGTAGCATTACTGACTTCATACTCTACTCGACAAGTCACAGACACATCATTTTATCGTGTCATTTATCGCGATACGAAAGTTTCCCGCAGTTCCTACCCTCTGAATAATTTATCATCAAGTAATCTCGAAGGAAAGCCTCCTACCAAGATGCAGGAAGCAGCAGCTTCTGTGAACTGTTCTGTGGGATCAGAGGGAGAGAGTCGGGAAAAGCATCGAGGGAGTGAAGAATCTTAGGACAAGGAACACTTGCGACGTCCTTCCGGTTCATTTTCTCTCGTCGAAATGTAAAGGAGAGCGAAGGAGAAGAGAAATTCGGCGGAGCCATTCAATGCAGACTGAATACGAGGCGCAGCGACTAAATCTCTTTGCAGCGTCATCACTTTTTACAAAATGTTGGGGGAATGAATTCTTCACCGTTTACATTGACTAAACTTGTGCTCCGGCATAAAGATACTACAAGGGTGAACATAATTCGAAACCCTTAGCTTCATAGCCTCATGTTTACCACGATGCTTAACACCCCTTAATGCAGTCATTAACATAGTATGTTTATCCCAGGCGATTATATCCCGCATGACGCCATTGAAATTTCACGTAGTACTGGCTTTCCAAAATGTACTACACATAAGATTCGTTCGTTTCATGCTTCATAACAGAAATTGTACTTCAACAAAATAAAATTTCAATATCTCCAAGTATATTTATAAAATATAAATAGAATACGAATATTACAGTTGATGCTACTTCAATATTACTCATCAAACAATACGTAACAGTTATAAACCTACAATGTTAAAATATGACAATCCCTGACATAATAGTTATAAAACACCTGATTTACATGACCTGATCTATATTCTTGAGTGTGATATTGTAATATTACAGATAACCTAATTGTTACTTATTGCTCGCTGATTATCATTTACATAGTAAACTAAAGTAAGTAAATTAATCGCCAGTTCACACCTTATTATTGAAATAGGAGTGTTTAGCGATACTAGAAATTATAATATCAGTCAGTTGTTTTAACCAATTTGTTACTATAGTACTTTTCAATGTATGAAACTGGTATATATATAGTACTGACAAAAATTCTATGGTATAACTTATCACCCTTGGCTAAGGAAAATATAGGGTAATATATACGTACATGTTGGAATCGGCCGTAACGTAAATATTACGTGGCAGCCCGGGGCGTTCTTGATTGCTGTCAACCTCGACGTAAGATGAAGTAGAAGTCAGCCTAAAACTTACCCCAGGCTATGCGTTATATTTTGACATTGCCTCAATAGGGTATGTATAAAGAAGGAGGTAGCAACTGTATCCTAATGTAGCTCTCATAGCTCTCTTAGTTCTCAATTTTCAGTTCTGCTGGTGGCTTCGTATGAGCGACGTGCTGTAATATTCGTTGAGGAAAGCCTGAGGCTTGCAAGCTCTATACTTTATTGTCAATACCAGAAAACAAGCTATTTTTTTTTATTTTGTGTTGTAAAATCTCATTCAGAAAATGCGTTGCGCGGATGTCGTCCGATTTAACTCGGCGTTCTAATAATTATTCTAACTGTCGTAACTCGCTGACTGAAACACTCGCGAAATTGAATTTACTTGGGTAGATGCGAATCCTGTCTAGGCCCCTTAACTTTAAATATATATATATATATATATGTACGTGTAAATACGCAGACGTCGTTGTTTCTCCGTTTGTACGTAGAATTGTCTCTCTCATTGCAAGTAGTTTTAGCCTAATTGCATTTGCTTAACTCTACAATCTCCTTTTGATATTAGGTGTCGAGCTATCTGTGAGAAATTAGTCAATAGTCATCGATTTACTACAGGGATGCTGTGTATGATTTAGAAAATGTTGTATATAGTCATTTGGATAAGTTTGAAGGCAGTTATGATTAGTAGTCCGAATTTAAGAAATAAGATTCTATCGTTTGGCTAATTACTATCCTTAATGAGTTTTGATTATTTATTACATACTCGTAAATGCTTCGAGTCTTATGAAACAGCCTTGGGTATAGTGGGAGAGGTCGACTCGTAAAATGATTTCCAATTTTCTTCACGCTTGAGTGAACTGGCACAATGGGGTTGAGGGCAAATTTTATCCAGAAGAAAAATGTTCGCGACGACCATACTCGTAGGACGTCTTCGTCTAGGAAAATGTAAGTATCCTCTGAATTTTCAAGGAGACGGATTAAAGCTTAGCAAATAAACTTTTCTGTTCCTTTTGCAGAAGCGCAATTAGCAAGGGGCTATATTCCTTTTTCGATTGGCTGAAGCAGTACCCTCGCTGCTAATTTGCTCCTAAGGGTATTTGTCAACTTTAATCCTTGTAATTAAAAATTCACCCTTCACTATATTCGGATTAAAGGAACACTCGACTATGGAAGAGTTTACTGTGCAATCAAAAGTTCTTTAACGTTCATCAACACTTTTGGTCAGTCTAAAATTTTTATATATCAGACAAATTTCCACCAATTACACCTCATTCGTGTATTCATAGAGGTATCCTACCATATCAGAGCTAATTTCATGTAAAAATATGTACAGGAAATATATTGCAGTGCTTTATGTTTTCATTGTTTACTGTTAAAAAGTTCATCGTTGTTCAGGATTTCTTCCTAAATGCTACATTATTTTCAACATCCTCCAGTCTACCTGTTCAGAATAGGTTGAACTTTTTTTTTAAGTTCATATTTCAATGATGAAATTTCTTTGATGTGAAATTGCTTTGACTCCCAAAGGAATAGGGTTGCTAACCATTTTAGCTACTAGTCCAAGGTACGACTTAATTGTAGCAGAGGCTATATACATATATATATATGTATATTATATATTCTAGGGTGGAGATACTCAACTCAGTATTCGGAGGACCATTGTATAATTGTCATTATGCAAATTCGCTGTGACAATAGCGAAAATTAGCAGAGTCGAGTACGATGACGTTAAGTCAGTTATGATTTTCGAGATTTTTCAATGTAAAATCAATATTACGCTAAAAATATTAACTGCGTCCCACTAACAATCTAAAGTGTGAACTATGGTTTAGTCTTTCGCGTCACTCTTGAAATTTCACAGTAATTCGCAAGGACCCTTTTGTCAAGTATAACATAGGCGTCGGGCAGTTGAGATCCTCTGCCGTAGAGTATACTAAATTGGAGACTATATTGTGCCGCACGAAATTGCATAGGTACACTAAATAGTGGCACTTTAGCACGACCTTCCGTTAATAAGCTGCTCGGAGCGATGCCGCCAAAAAAAGGTTTAAAGTCGAGAGATTTATAAAAATCGATATCCGCGATCGAGAGAATCACTCGACATTAATTATTATTGGCGATAGCGTTGTAATTTAATGAAAAGAAAAAAGGAATGTGATTCATGTAACTTTTTTGCACTCACAAACCGTCTCCCTTTTAGCAGAAAGAATTTCCTCTCGTTGGATTTGCGGTATCCTTTTATCTCTTGGGAATACGGTGGCGTGAGTTCCTTTCCACAGATACGTAAGGTGGAGTCTCAAATTCGCGAAGGGATTTCAGGACGATGAGAAAAAGTAAATACTCGTCCCAGTATCAGCCAGGCGGAGATGCCCGTTACTCCTTCTGCTCAACGAGACTTCTTTAAAGAGAAAGACTGAGAGGAAGATAGTAAAGGACGAGAGAGAAGAAACGAGATAGAGAAATGGAAGAAAAAAAAATATCTTAATCCGACCAAGGTAGAATTTGCATAACGTCGAGACCGTAGCTGGCGCATTTTTCTACGAGTAATCCTACGTTATCGCTGGTAAGGTTTTTTCCTTAATTGGAAATTATTTCTTTCAATATAAAGTAAACGAAAGTGGACTTACTTGGTTTCAGAGCGAACCGGAATTCCCGTTTCTTCAAGAATGGAAAAAGCACCTATCAACTCCCGGAGGACCTCACCTTCCATTTCTGCTTTCTTCCTCGCTCTTCCATCTCACCTCTACAGGATATTTCGTTTCTACTTTGCATGAGAAAAGGTTGCTCAACTTTTCGCTGGGGTATAGCGCCATTTGCATTAATTTGTAGTGTAATTCGGTTAGGAACCTGAGAGTAGGCGCTTGGTGCTGTCTACTTCACGTTTCTATTGAACGAATCCAAGTCCAAGGCTTTCTTTACCCTCGTGCAATTTCAACGTTTACCCTCGTCAGTTGGTATGACTTTATCTGCGATTTTTACCAAGGACGAGAAAATTGATATGAGGAAAAATTCAAACAAATAATATTCCTTGAATTAAGTTTTAGGATAGAATCGTCTGAGAAGGAAGGATATAGAAATTTGGGAAAATAAAATTGGACAATTTTTTTCAGTCTACTATCTAGTGTTCCCGGTCGAGGCCGTGAAGCTTCCTCTAGCTAGTTAGAGCCAGACCTTGGTTGCAATCTTATCTCAAGGTACATGTAAGCATGTAAGCGTGTAAGCCTGCTGCAAACACCCGCAAAGTAGTGTAGCCAAAGATGCAGGCGGGTACAAGTGGTCACGTACGGGCTTTGTCAGACAGGTCGTATCTCTCTGAAGGATCTAGCCTCTAAAACTGTACTAGCACTTGGTTTGGTGATTGTAAAGCTTAAAAGATACATGAAAGGGGAATTCAAGCGTGTGAGCACGTGATATTGGAGCTTTAATGAAATTTCGACGTTACCCGAAAAGAGCTTTTGAACAGGTTTTATGAATTTATACATTCCCTCTTTTTCCACATTATGTCCATGTCTCCTTTCATTCGCGCTAGATACGGTTTTTTTTTTTTTTTTTTTTTTTTTTTTTTTTTTTTTTTTTTTTTTTTTTTTTTTTTTTTTTTTTTTTTTTTTTTTTTTTTTTTTTTTTTTTTTTTTTTTTTTTTTTTTTTTTTTTTTTTTTTTTTTTTTTTTTTTTTTTTTTTTTTTTTTTTTTTTTTTTTTTTTTTTTTTTTTTTTTTTTTTTTTTTTTTTTTTTTTTTTTTTATATTGACATCCCTCGACTCTGGAAAGTTCACGCTTGAATTTGCGCAATCGTGAAAGCCTCGGTCCTAATAAAGCTTCCGAGGCTGAGCTTCCGCTCGACTTAACGCGGTCGCTCTGCGATATTGATAATTAAAAGCTCTAATGAATCCGTGACCGACGACTAACGCTTACTTTTTATTTTGTAATCTTCTCTTTTGACATCTTCCGCTCTCTGTTCAAAGGGCAAATGACTCTCAATTCAAAGGACTGATACGCCAATGAAATTAGGATGTTTGCAGCGTTCTACCGTTACGTTACAACGCTTTATTCAGCGACCAAGTTCGATTATGCGAGAAAGGGTGAATTCGTCGAGACTATCTCATCGCTGAAAATTATAGAAGAGGAAATGAATTGGCAGAAGTTCTTTCCAAGTCAAAAGAATTGGCATTGGCGTCGTACCCTCAATGGATAATTAGGACTTTTGTTCAAGCTCCAATCGACGCTATGAACCAGGAAGACGAATTGATTTTTCAACGAGGGAACAGCTCCAATGAGAATTTACTATTCTCTGAGTGGGTACTCCAAGTCTAGTACTATTCGATATTATCAAATACCTATCTCACGGTTGTATGCTGATATGATACCTATTTCCATTTAAATCCTACAAATCTGCATGTGCAGTTTGCAAAAGTGCTGCGCATCGTATGGCTCCTCTATAAAGCATTTACTCTGGCGTCGCGGCGCACCTGTAATCCGTCAAGGGATTTGCGTCACAG